GATTGTTGCAGAGTGGCAAACAGAAACTAAACTTGGTACTTTTGAATGAAGTAATTTGATTGGATTCAGGCTGCTGGGCATTTTTTGATGGGGATGAGGAAGTGGCTCCACAAGTGGCATAAAAAGAACTGAGATTCTAAGTTTATATACCAACAATTTAAAAAAAGGAGATACTGCTCCTCCTTCTCTTCCAATGCTTTCCTCAAATTAAAAAGCTCCTTTTTAAAAAAACTGTCCTAGCTTTCATCCTTGGATTCCATCTTAAGTAGGAGAGAATAAAGTCTTGGTCCTTCTGTATATAATATCCCATTCAATGTATTGGTTTCTCCTTATGCCTAAGGGATCCCTAGAGCCTTCTTTGTTTTTTTTTTTTTTTTTTTTTTTTTTGAGACGGAGTTTCGCTCTTGTTACCCAGGCTGGAGAGCAATGACTCGATCTCGGCTCACCGCAATCTCCACCTCTTGGGTTCAGGCAATTCTCCTGCCTCAGCCTCCTGAGTAACTGGGATTGCAGGAACGTGCCACCATGGCCAGCTAGTTTTTTTGTATTTTTAGTAGAGACGGGGTTTCACCAAGTTGACCAGGATGGTCTCGATCTCTTGACCTCGTGATCCACCTGCCTCGGCCTCCCAAAGTGCTGGGATTACAGGCGTGAGCCGCCGCGCCCGGCCCTAGATCTTTCAAAATTTACAATTAAAAAATAATAAAACTTAAAGAAACATGACCCATATCTAGTGACTTTTCTTCTCCTTAAGAGCAATTTTAGTTAACAGACAGCAATTAAGAAAACACTTACTGACTGCTTATTCTGATAGCCTGCTCTCTAAACTCCTCCTTCCTAATAAATGCTTCATGATATGTTGTGCTGTATGTGGGCAAAGATGCACTACACAAGGACCCTGGTTTCAAGGAGTCTGCTATCTGCAAAGACAGCAAATGCAGGCAAGTAATTATTTTACAGGATTTTGTATACGAAGAGAGGATACATAACAAAATGTCATAAAACTTAAAAAGTTCTATTCTGGCAAGTTAGGAGACTCACGGAAAAGAGAGCATCTGAGTTGGATAGCAAGAAAATGGCAGAATTTTGACAAATGAAAAGCCAGAGAGGAGCCATTTCCAAAGTAGAGAGAATGAACAAAAGTGCAGAGATAGTAAAGAATAAGGCATTTTGGAAAATGGCAAGTACCATAATTCACTTTGGATGGAGCATCCTCAGTTTTGCACTGAGGGTCTGGACAGAAACTCAGGTCTTCTAATTCCCAGTAACAGTGCTGGTGGTAGTGCTTGCTCAGTCGTTGTCTCTTTTCTCACAGCAAGGTCAACAGTCCCAAAATTCAAAAATAAAAAAAAATAATCTACCTCCAGTGTTCCTGCCACATCCTGACAAGCTCTTTCAGGTTCCAGGTCCAGTTCTTGAAAATCTGGAAATCTGGAGTCCATGAATGTGGCTACACTGAAAGTTATCTGCTCCAACTATTGCAGAACACTGTAGTGAAATCTTCTCAACATCCAATCCTGGACATCTCATGTTTTGCCACAGAATTCAAGCTTTGAGTTCCAGTTGTCTTTTTTCCTCCTTTCTGCTGAGGAAATCATCTTATCACCAGAGTCTTGTCTTTTGAGGTACATCCAGATTTAACTACAAAAGAGCTAAAAGACCAACAGGTTTTTTTTTTTCTCCAAAACAGTCATTTCTCTGGAAGTGAGATTGTCTCTGCCCTTTAGGAAAAGGGAATAGTCAATTGATCTTTTTCAGACATTTGAACGAAATAGCGTAACTGGCTAACATCTAATCAGACAAAATACACTTAAATGTGTTTGTGTTCACTTGCTTAGAGCTGTACCACTTGGTGAGCACCACTCCACAAAATGAAAATGTTTGTAATCCAATTGTTCAAACATTTTTATAGTGTTTGTTAAATAATGGGCTGAAATTTGATAAAAGCAGCTGCAAATTAACAAAGAAGCAAAAACTGGCAACTTGGACATCTTAGTATTATACTTGCAAGCAATTAGAACACATGAAGGGCCAAAGAAAAAGTTAAGCTTTTAATCACTTCCAAATCTACTGATTATAAGGTTCTGCAGTAGTTCTAACAAAACTTTTCAGAGAATGTTAACCTTCAATTAGGAAAGAAAAAAACCCCAAACATCTTCAGGAATTCCGTGCCTGGTTCAGTCTCTTCCAGTGAGCCCGCTCGCCAAAAGTCCAAGTGCACCATTAATTAGATGGGCTTGGCAGCACCATGTAAAAAGAAGCCTATTCACCACCAACCACACAGACTAGACATACGAAGTGGGATCAAGTAATGGATGACAACCATGGTCGTGGAAAATGGTCAATGAAGAGTCAGAAAGGTAGGCACCGGTACAAGAAGCAGGAAACAGAGTTGCCGGACCAAAGATTAAATAGGCTTATTTAAATAGGATGCTACAGAACACATCCATTCCTAATTGTAGCTGCTTTACACTGGGTGCCATTGTACCATATGCATCAGCCACCATTCAGGCACCCCATGGTGAAAGAAAAGGATTCAGAATAGAAGCCAAGCAGGGGACTGTTGTTACCCCGAATATCCATTATGCATAGAAACAGCTCACATATCCCAGGGACTCATACAGGGGCTTCAAATTGGTTGTGAAGGGTCCCAAATGACATCTAGGCCTCAGTTTCCTCTCTGTAGCATGAAGAAATTGTGATTCTTAACTCTTCTGAGTCACACAGCTCCCTCGAAAAACTCGATAGCGATGGATCATCATTCACCTAAAACGCACATTCCCACAATTTCAGGGAGTTTGGGGATCCCCAACTCCAATCCAAGATTCCCAGGTTCAAAACCCAAGGATTGGGCGACTGCTAAGTTTTCTTACAACTCAAAAAAAAAAAACATTACAAACAATAACCATCTTTTACATACACCCACGCTTTATAGTTTACAAAGCGCTTTCAATCCCACACACATTGATAGGCAGAGGAGGAAACTGAGGCGCAGACAAATTACAGAGTGACTCGCCTAAGGTCACTCGGCCAGCTGGTGGCTAGGCCCGGAAGCAAACCCAGCTCTTCCGACTCCGGAGCTCGTCTCCCCACCCCGGGGCTGCCGCCAGAGCTCCCGCACCTCACTAAGGCGGCATGAGGAGGAAAAGGCAAAGTAGAAATCCCACAACCAACCATCCTCCAGCCCCCTCCTGCCCCCCCAACTGGGTCCTTGCAGGCCCCGAAGGGTGGCGCCAGGCCTCCAGGCCGGCCCCGGCCACCCCCGCCTCCCCGGCCGCTCCAAATCCCGCGGCCGCTGCCGCCGCCGCCGCCTCCCCCGGAGCGGGGCGGAGCAGCTGCCCGCCGCCGCCGACCACCCGGACGACTCCTCGTCGAATCGCAAACGCATAGGCCGCCGCCCGAGTTCTGCGTACGAGAAGAAAGACGCGGCGCGAGCGCCAACGGCCAGCGGGCGCGCGCCGCGGCGGCCGGGCCTGCGCCCCAAGAGCTGGATGCCAGAGCAGGAGAAAGAGCCGCCAACCGATCGCTCGATCGACCGCACGCCCGTTCCTTCGCCCTACCAGACCCGGGAGGGGGGGAGGGCGCGCCAGGGCTTCTTCGAGTTAGGGGCCTGACTCCCCGGCGACGAGACAAGATGGCTCCTCCGGTCCGCACCGCAGCTACCGTCCCGGCTGCGTCGCTCGGCCCGCCCCCGGTACTGTTTCTTTAAATGGCGGAGAGGGTCAGGAAAGCAGGAAGAGAGGCGCACGCTCTCACGTGACAGGGGCGGGACCGGCCAACCAAGATCCGGTCACATGGGGACACGCAGCCCGCCAATCAGGAGGCTGTACATCAGGGCGGGGGCGGGAGGAGCTGCAGCTTTATGATTGGCTGAATGCGCCGCGGAGGCCTCGGGGGTTTGGGGCGTCGGGGAGTGCGCGAGGTGGCCGGGGCTGTGTGCACTAGCGGAGACAAAGCGGTGGCTCTGGTGTCTGTGACTGCGGCGGGAGAGCGGCTCTAAACGCCGAATTTCGTGTTGCTGCTGGGTCCTGTCACCATCTCATTCAGTGCGGCGCGCGGGCGGCGGCGGCGGCGGCGGCGGAGGAGGAGGCGGAGGCGGCAGCAGCACATGGTTCCAAGAGCGCGCTGCGGCTGTTGGGTTCCAGTTCCGCGGGGAGGGACAAAGGCAGTTGTGAGCTCCGGGTAGTGCCCAGTCGGGTGGTGCGCTCTCCACTGCCTTCGATCCGGTCCCTGAAAGCCGGGAGTAGCTCCTCTTCCTGAGGAGGCCGCCACGGGACCGAGGCCCGGGAAGGGCCTGGGAGGCTGAGGCTGTTGTCTGAGGGCCGTGGGGGAGGGGCGCGCCCCGCCCGAGGTGCTCTGGGAGAGTCAATTGTGAGGTGTCTCCGTGGGCCCGTAGGAGGAGATCTGACTGCCACCCTCAGCTAGGTTTGGTCGGGCTTTGAGAAAAGAAATCGTCAGTTAGCACCTAGGAGCTTTTTCAGCTGGGAGGTGGTGAAGCCTCAACTAGCGCCATATTAACACTCCATCGACATCTTGGTCACCGGTCTTGGGCCTGTTGAAGGATCCTGGCATCACGTGTGGCGAGGATATGGCTGATCAGTTTTTTGATAGAAGTGGGTAAATTTCCAGATGGGTAAACTTCCTGACAGGAAATTTAGGGGAAACAAAAAAGGCATGAAGAACATGAAGATGGAGCAGTCATAAACCACCCTCTCAAGGACCATCTCCAGGACCATCCACACGAGACTCAGATTTTCTGAATTGAGCCATCGCAACTTAATGCTAAAAGCTCCTTAAAACTACGGATTTTTGACATAGTTCTTTCCAAAATATTACATCGTGATCATTGAGAAGATTAAAAAAAAGCTTGAAGAAATTGTAGTTTTAAACATTTCTTTGCATATATTTTGGATAGTTACTAGTTACTTTAACTGTCATTAAGGAGCACAGACTGAAGCTTTACTGGACAGAATCCTGGGAAGCTGATTTCATTTTAGGGTTGTATTTCCCAGCTAGTGGGTGAAGGGCTGGAGACCTTATTGCAGTCATGGCTTTCACAAATTACAGCAGTCTGAATCGAGCTCAGCTAACCTTTGAATATCTGCACACAAATTCGTAAGTATCCTCTAGGTGCCACTGAGTTAACCAGTAACTCATTCCTTGATATTTATATGGAATTCATTTCCCCAGAAAATTTTGCTTTTTTGCTTTTTGGGATGTATCCCATTGGAGTGAAATGTATCCCTGGATGTCTTGAGCTCTGTATTGAAGAACTAAGATCAGTGAAATACTTTTTGCTAATCCAGAAGAATCTGATTTGTTTATTGGATCAAAATTTTCTAAATGCAGACTTGAGTTATTTGAAGTCAGTATGCTGAGTTGTTTCATTCAAATGTTTATAGGAATCCAACAAGTACTGCTCTCTTGGATCACCAGGTGTTGGAGTATTTTAGTATCAGCTGTTTCCTCTCTGTAGTGACAACGTCCTAAACAGGTTTATAACAAATCTTTAATTTCTAACAAGAAAACAGAAGACATTTAAATGACAACTTTCAAGAAGAAAATTTTTATTTTTTCAGCATTTGGCTTTATCTTCCTGGCAAATTGCTCCTACATCCAGTATTATTTGCATGTGCTAAAGCAGGAAACCGCAACTTGTTTAAAACCTTGATTTAGATAGTCTTTCCCCAAAATTTCCACAGAAACATACAGTGTTCATGATTCTTGAGTTCATGAAGGAGTAATCTCATCACTCCAACTTGGTCTGGAATGTTTCAGGTTTAATCCATATATCCACTCTCTTGGAGGTTGTCCAGTAGGATCAAAACTTCTTTAGTGTTTTAATAACCTGTTACTTTGGAGATGAAGGTAAGTGTTCTACCATTCTAGTACCTGGAGAGGAGATGAGCAGCTACATGAATGGTCCAGTCTCTGAAGAACCGCCTTCAGAGTTGAGAGTATAGTCTTCCATTATCTAATGTAGTACAATGGTTTTTAAGCTTTTTATGGAAAAGATAACATGTTTGTGACACAATAATGTCTGTAATATTTCTGCTGTTTTTCCTATAAAGGGAATAAAATTTTGCCAAGTAGTGAAGCAAATTGTCAAATGGTGAGAGCCTGGTTTCATTTTGTTTAGGAAGTTTGTTGTTATTTTGAGAGATGGAGTCTTGCTCTGTTGCCCAGGCTGGAGTGCAGTGGTGCAATCTTGGCTCACTGCAGCCTCCACCTCCCAGGTTCAAACGATTTTCCTGCCTCAGCTTTTCAAGTCACTGGGACTAAAGGCGTGTGCCACCACACCCAGCTCATTTTTGTATTTTTTTAGTAGAGACAGGGTTTCACTGTATGTTGGCAGGCTGGTCTCAAAGTTATGACCTCAGGTGGTCCATCTGCCTTGACCTCCCAAAGTGCTGGGATTACAGGTGTGAGCCACCGTGGCTGGCCTAAGGAAGTTTATTACTGAACTAGATCGTTTTAGGGAAGGTACTGTAGCAGTCACCTAAGCTGAATTCTCACACTTAAGTATGATGAACCTGAAACCCGCTTAGATGAGGTTGCTGATAAGTAATTATCCAGCTAGTTCATAGCATAGCCTTGGGAAAAACCTTCAGTGTCCTTTTCAATATTTCAACTGCTGTATTAAGATCAAGCAGTTGAAGGCCACTTAAATGTTCATGGATGACTGTGTCTTATAAATGATTATCTCAGCTCTAAATTTTGGAATGATGGCAAGTCTAGAATTACAGATTTTATGATGATCTTGGAAGGCCATCAGCTGGACTTCAGAATTTAAATTTTCTTGTTCCAGCTTCACCAAAGACTTTATAGGATAGTAAAATAATAGAAACTGGTTAATTGCTTCATGCCAGTCACTATTTTAAACATTGTCCAAAGCAATCTTTACAGTAAGCCTTTGGGGTAAGGATATTCCTATTTTGCATGTGAGGAAACTGAGGTTCGAAGAGATTAAATTACATGGTAATGGTTATATAGCTGCCAAATGGCAGACTTAGGGTGCCAAGGCTTAAGGCAGTAAGATTTACCTGGCCACAATAGTTAGTGGTTTTAACCATTAGACAGTGCCTACTGTAGTCAGTTTTACCTTCATGCGCTTGTTTGCTTGTCTGTAAAGGAAAGAGTTTACTTCACAGTTTAAGTCTTCAGTTTTAGTTTATTTTAGTTGATCTCTATGGATTCTGGGATATTTCTCCCTTCTTTTTTTTCCCCTTGTTATTTTATAGCTTATTAATGATAGATTTGGCAATGCCAAGGAAAAGAAACCAGTTAATTAAAGTTAGGAAATTTTCTTTGACTTACCCATGTTGAACTGGAACCACATGCTTGCATGAACATTTGAGGGTTACAGTATCATTTTGGAAGCTCTGGAATTTCTTACCTGGACCACAAATTCAACCTTAGAAGTTGTTCTTTTTGATGTGTTAGTTCTATCAGAAGAAAGTATAAACTCTAAACCACCAAGATAAGTTTTTTATTTCTGCCTAATTTCAGGAGGTTTTTTTTTTTTTTTTGAGATGAAGTTTTGCTCGTTACCCAGGCTGGAGTGCAGTGGCATGATCCCAACATACCGCAACCTCTGCCTCCTGGGTTCAAGCAATTCTCCTGCCTCAGCCTCCCGAATAGCTGGGACTACAGGCCAGCGCCACCATGCCCAGCTAATTTTTGTATTTTTAGTAGAGACGGGGTTTCACCATGTTGACCAGGATGGTCTCAATTTCTTGACCTTGTGATCCACCCCCCTTGGCCTCCCAGAGTGCTGGGATTATAGGTGTGAGCTACCGAGCCCGGCCTAATTTCAGGAGATTTTAAAAACATTGTGGTAACCTAATTGGAAGTTAATTTATAAAGAAAATAAATTTTTAAATTGTCACATGATGTGGCTTGTAGCTCATAAAGATGGAAGATGAACCACCTCTGTGTAAAGTGGTTCAACATGCCATTTTCAGAGAAGGGAAGATTTGTCTCACAGTATCTTCTTTGTTCTGTCAAAATCTTAGGAACACAAGACCATTTCAGGGTGCCTGACATCTATAGTGTTACCGTATTATGAATTAGGAAAGAAATGGTCCTTTGCTTACTTTTCATATAATGTAGACTTGCAAGCAGTGACCAGACTAGAAGGGTGGAACTCAGTGTAGTACAGTGAAAAGACCATGTGCTTGCAAACCAGCTAAACCTGAGTTTGACTGTTACCTGGCTGTGTCCTTGGGCAGGTCAACTTCTTGAGTCTCACTTTCTTCATATAAAATGGGACTGATCTTGACAGTTTTTATGAGGATTATGTAAAATGATGTTTAGAAAGTTCTTGGCTCATGCAGTGGTACCCAATAAACACTGTGTGGGTGGTGATTGTTACTCTATAATATTAATTTATATAAACCAGAAGTTGATCAGTGTGGTGGCAACTTGTTTGGTGCTAGTAATTAGGCAGGTCAGTTCTTAGTAAATTCTGGAGCATCTGTTGGAGACAGTGAATGGCTGTCTTTTTTCATATCAGGTCTATTTTGATGATTATTCCCTTGGTTACGTAGCTTTTTAAGGCTTAAAGCAGGCCTGGGAAATAAATTCTCATGATAACCTGAAAGTCTTGAGGTAATTTAATATCAGATGTTGCTAGTATTAGATGATAAAAGTTAGGGGTTTTAAGTAAAAGGAGTTTTATGTGGTTGCTTCTCTTTGGTGGTGGGTTTTGTGACTGCCACTCCAGATGTATATGTATAACATGCATATATTATGCATCTGCATGTTAATGTATGCATAATAAGTCACTTTGCAGTACTGCTAAATGGTCTAATAGAGCAGGATGCTTAGGTATTAGATGTCTACTAATTATTTTTGTTGGCACATTTAGTAACTTAACGTCTTGGCTATATATTTCTGGGTTTTTATTTATTCATTTTTTTGAGATGGGAGTCTTGCTCTGTTGCCCATGCTGGAGTGCAGTGGCGCCAACTTGGCTCACTGCAACCTGTGCCTCCCGGGTTCAAGCTATTCTCTTGCCTCAGCCTCCTGAGTAGTTGGAACTACAGGTGCATGCCACACACCCAGCTAATTTTTTGTTTTTAGTAGAGATAGGGTTTCACGGTGTTAGCCAGGATGGTCTTGATCTCTTGACCTCGTGATCTGCCCATTTTGGCCACCCAAAGTGCTAGAATTACAGGCATGAGCCACCGCGCCTGGCCCTATTTCTGGATTTTATATGTATGTGAAATGAATGTAGAGGAGTCTATCAACTCAGAGACTTAAATTACTTATTACTTTTAAGCCTCTTGAGTAGGCTCATATCCTAAATATATTAAAGCTATTTAAATGTAAAATGGTTGCTCCAGAATTTTTCAGTTTTATTTTCTAGCAATTAAGGCAATTAACTATTGTCGGCATGTGTAGGAACTCAGCAGAAGTTATCACGCTGTGTGATGGGCCTATGGATGATCTATTTGTTTACATTCAGGATGAATATAAATAGGAAGACCATTTTCCTTATATAATAAGCTAATTTACACGTGAATTTGTCCCTGGAAATGTTGAGCTACAAAACTATTTTCTCTGTGACACAAGTGATATAAAAGCCATGATCAGGCGGGCAAGGTGGCTCATGCCTGTAATCCCAACACTTTGGAAGGCTGAGGTGGGCGGATCACTTGAGGTCAGGAGTTCGAGACCAGCCTGCCTGGCCAATGGGGTGAAACCCCATCTCTATTAAAAATAACAAAAAAATTAGCCAGGCATAGTAGCCTGCACCTGTAATCCCAGCTGCTCTGCATATTGATTCAGGAGAATCACTTGAATTGGGAGGCAGAGATTGTGGTGGGTGGAGATCATGCCACTGCACTCCAGCCTAGGTGACAGAGTGAGACTCTGTCTCAAAAAAATAAAGCCAGTTGAAAGTGAACGAATTTTTTAAAAATGGTTTTCTTTTCCTTTCTTGGATCATATGCAAAGGATGTTTAGGTCTGTGAAGAAAGGAATTTCTTTAGATATTTATTCTATCTCAAATGCTACCTGGCAATGAGTGTACTCTTGGAATATTATTCGGAAAAAAAGAATTTATGCAGTTGGTATAATTTTGATTCTTAGGATTTTAAGAAATACTTAGAATTCTGATTTTAGCATCTGGAAGATCTGTCTAATCAGCTGGAGGTCTGGAAGAGTTTCTGAGTATTTATCTCTGACTTTACCAACAGTGGTCACAAAAGCCTCTTTTTTTTTTTTTTTGAGACTGAGTTTCGCTCTTGTTACCCAGGCTGGAGTGCAATGGCGTGATCTCAGCTCACCGCAACCTCCGCCTCCTGGGTTCAGGCAATTCTCCTGCCTCAGCCTCCTGAGTAGCTCGGATTACAGGCACACACCACCATCTCCAGCTAATTTTTTTTTTTTTTGTATTTTTAGTAGAGACGGGGTTTCACCATGTTGACCAGGATGGTCTCGATCTCTTGACCTCGTGATCCACCCTCCTCGGCCTCCCAAAGTGCTGGGATTACAGGTGTGAGCCACCGCGCCTGGCAAAAGCCTCTTTTATGATATGTACTGCCATCACAAAACTACCCTTTAGTTACATTGTAAAGGGTACTGTTAGCTTATCTGAAATATGTATGCATGGAACAGCATTGAGATTGTGTGGAACAACAAACGCCATTTAGAATTTTTTTTTTTGAGATAGGGTCTGGCTCTGTCACCCAGGCTGGTATGCAGCAAGGCACATTTCTTTCCTTTTTTTTTTTGAGATGGAGTTTCACTCTTGTTGCCCGGGCTGGAGTACAATGGTGCAGTCTCTCGATCTCAGCTAGGATTATAGACACCCGCCACCATGCCCAACTAATTTTTTTTTATATTTTTATTAGAGACGGGCTTTCACCATGTTGGCCAGGCTGGTCTCGAACTTCTGACTTCAGGCTATCCACTCGCCTTGGCTTCCCAAAGTGCTGGGATTGTAGGCGTGAGTCACTGTGCAAGGCACATTTCTAAGCACTGTGTGGAAGGTGCTTTGTGTTCACCTCTTTGAGATCTACTTATTCTCAATTTCTCAGTCTGTGGGATGCAGTCAGAAAATATGTATTGCTCAGAAGCAGTTGCAATTTCTGTTTTGGTTTTCTTGTCTTAATGGCAGAGGTGGTCAAAATTAGTTTTCCAGATTATTCAAATTGACCATTCTCACTACCAAAGACTGCAAACTTCATTCTTTACTTTTTTAATTCTTAAGTTAGTACATTCTGGTGCAAGATGTAGTCTCATACTTACTATGGTTGTGCTCTTTTTTTTTCCTGGTAGTTGTATTTTTGAGATTCCTTGATTTACATTAAAAGTACAAACTTAAGTTGAAATGAGAAATATTGGAATAAAATTAGTTATTTTATATTTCTATATAACAGTCCTCAAAGTTAAAAATATTTAGGGTGCATAAAATGAATTCAGTTTGTAAGTATCTAAGTCACTTGTATGTTTGATGGGAAAATGACAGGTTGAAAGTTTGAGAACAAATGTTACATTCACTTTTAACTAACATTACCTTTGGCAAGTCATCTTAATTTTTCAGCTTATTTCTCCTTATTCAGTGGGGGTAGTTTACATATTTAGTGGGGTAGTTTACAGAATACTTATTTGTTTATTCATTTGGCAATTTGAAGAATTTAAAGGTATAATTCTAGAGACATAAATATTTTTTGTTCTTTAGAATATTTTTAATTTTTACTGAGTGGGCACAAGACAGGTGTTTTTAATAATTAAACATATGGCTGTTTTATGCACTTTTTTTAAAAAAAGAAATCTCTCTCTTTCATATAGTGTAATTAATTAGATTTTAGCCAGAAGAATTTGAACTCTATTTTCTAGGTGAATTGGTGATAAAATTTCTTTTGGTTGCAATATATTTCTCAGTGCTGCCTTTGGATTAGCAACATATATTCACTGATATTGTGTTGGGGGAAAAGTCTTCCTATAATCACAGAGTGATAGCTTAATTCAAAATTTGCATTTGTAGCCTGTGCTCAGCCCTCTAATCCCAGCACTTTGGGATGCTGAGGTGGGTGGATCACCCTAGGTCAGGAGTTTGAGACCAGCCTGGCCAATATGGTGAAACCCCTTCTCTACTAAAAATATAAAATTAGCCAGGTGTAGTGTTGCATGCTTGTAATCCCAGCTACACGGGAGGCCAAGGCAGGAGAATCACTTGATCCTAGGAGGCAGATCAGTGAGCCCAGATCAGGATTGCGCCATCGCACTCCAACTTGGGTGACAAGAACAAAACTCTTGTCTCTGAAAAAAAACAACAACAACTTGCATTTGTAAAAATTTGAAGAGTTAGTTGAGGAGGAAGAAAACAATATTCCTGGAGAGTTTAGTTATGGATATTTGTTAAATAAACAAATGTTTTACATTTTGTTTACAATATGGTAAGTGATCAGAGATCCTAGATGCTGGTTATTTAATATTGATATGTTTCATTTAAAAATTTTTACTTTAACTGAAAATTGGCTGAAACCTTTTACTTTGGCTGAAACTTTATGTAAAAAAGTCAGAGTAACATGGATATTTTTGAAAAATTGATGGTAATGTATTATGTGGATGAATTTTCTGTTTAATCAAGTCAAGCGGGTTTTTTTAGGTGGTTCTCTGTGGACACATCCTAATTTGATAGCTAATGAGCACTATTGTGGAAAAGAGCACAAATTAAACAGTATAAATTGGACATGCTCAATGTGTAACTTGTTAGCATTTTGTTTTACCAATACTTGTGTGCGATCCACCAGTGGAAAAAGGAAACTCATACTTTTGTCTAATTTACAAGCAAAAATATCCCATTTGAAAGAGTAAGAAAATAGAGGCCGGGCGCGGTGGCTCAAGCCTGTAATCCCAGCACTTTGGGAGGCCGAGGCGGGTGGATCACGAGGTCAAGAGATCGAGACCATCCTGGTCAACATGGTGAAACCCCGTCTCTACTAAAAATACAAAAATTAGCTGGGCATGGTGGCGCGTGCCTATAATCCCAGCTACTCAGGAGGCTGAGGCAGGAGAATTGCCTGAACCCAGGAGGCGGAGGTTGCGGTGAGCCGAGATCGCGCCATTGCACTCCAGCCTGGGCAACAAGAGCGAAACTCCGTCTCAAAAAAAAAAAAAAAAAAAAAAGAGTAAGAAAATAGAATAACTCATTTTATGATTTTCTCAGATTTTGGCTAAAACCAGAACTTTGTCTGTTAAAAAACGTAATCCAAGACCTTTTCCAACAATTCCTTCTATGATGACAAGAGCTTGCATGGTATGGTTACCTAGGGCCGCTGTTAAAATTAACCCCTTCAAGGAGGGGAATCAGTGGTCATCTCCTCTGGGAGGCTGCTCAAAGTTTGGGTTGGGTAAATACACAGTTATATGTTATTCAAAACTTACTACACTCCAGCTGGAGTGACAAGAACGAGAACCTGTCTCAAAGAAAAAACAAAAAACAAAATTCAGTATTTATGCATAAGATATATCCTTATAATTCTTGCCCTGAGATATGGAGAAACTGACCACTGGTTAAGGAAATAAAAAATTAAATATACAGGCATTTTTCTAGGCAGGATATGAATAGTGAAAAACACTGTTTTTTGTTTTTTGTTTTTGTTTTTTGTTTTTTTTTTTGAGACGGAGTTTCGCTCTTGTTACCCAGGCTGGAGTGCAATGGTGCGATCTTGGCTCACTGCAACCTCCGCCTCCTGGGTTCAGGCAATTCTTCTGCCTCAGCCTCCTGAGTAGCTGGGATTACAGGCACGCACAATGATGCCCAGCTAATTTTTTGTATTTTTAGTAGAGACAGGGTTTCACCATGTTGACCAGGATGGTCTCGATCTCTTGACCTCGTGATCCACCCGCCTCGGCCTCCCAAAGTGCTGGGATTACAGGCTTGAGCCACCGCGCCCGGCCTTTTTTGTTTTTTTTTTTGATGTGGAGTCTCGCTCTGTCGCCCAGGCTGGAGTGCAACAAGGGTGAGATCTTGGCTTATTGTAACCTTTACCTCCCATGTTCAAGCGATTCTCCTGCCTCAGCCTCCTGAGTAGCTGAGACTACAGGCACCTGCTGCCACACCTGGCTAATTTTTGTATTTTTAGTAGAGATGGGGTTTCACCATATTGATGAGGCTGGTCTTGAACACCTTACTTTGTGATCTGCCTGCCTCAGCCTCCCAAAGTGCTGGGATTGCAGGTGTGAGCCACCGTGGCCTGTGAAAAAAGCGCTAAGCAGTTACTGTACACAGGAATCTTTGCTTCAAGATGATTTCCTAACTCAAAATAGGAAGAATATACATTTCTGAATAGATGGCAGGACTTGATAAAGATTAACACTTCAGGGGAATTGGGGAGCTCTGGAAAGCTTTCGGTAGAATATAAAGCAACAATGCAAATGGTTTTGGATTTTTTCAAAAAACTTAAATATTTTATAACCATGGCTTTTTATTAGGAATTATAACTTCAGTTCATAATTCTTTTGCTGACTTCAGTATTTATCATTTCAGAACCACTCACGAATTCTTGTTTGGTGCTCTTGCTGAACTGGTTGATAATGCAAGGTATGTAGTCCTCCTCAGGCATACAATCTGTGCTTGAAGTGGAAACATTTTAGGTAGCTGTGACCTTTGCTCTCTGAAAACTTGAAGAGGAAGACATTTCTTTAGACTGTAAACATTCTGTAACTCCCAAGAGGCCTCTTACTAAAAAAATATTTTTAATAGTACGTTATTTGATAACTTCCACTCTCTTACTTAAATTCACTAATTGTTCTTTGTGTTCTAGCCTGAAAAGAGTGAATTATCACCTCCAAAACCATTTCCCTTGTGTATTAGAGCAAGATAATTGTGACAAAATGCAGGGAATTAAGATAGACACTTAGGGATCATATTAATGGGAAAGGCAAGCCCTGATTTAATTTGTGCTACCGGGATAGTACACCATCTAATGTCTTTAAAACTATGCCAAAGTTCTGTGTCTTCACAAATTGTATATTGTCAGATAAGTAAATGATCACAGTTATCTTTCATTGTTACCAGCTGTGCTTGGAAGGAGTCATTGGTTAGCACTGTCTTCTACTGAGTTCTTAGTGATAGAAACATATAAATGTTACTGTGTAAGACTGAATGGAAATTTGGGTTGGTTCTGAGACAAAAATCTAAGTCCAGATCAAGATTCTGTTTATAATTAGGAAAATATTGTCTCAGTCTTACTCTTGAATGCAAACATAAAATTCGGACACCTCATTTATTGATCAGGCTTTCATGACTAATGAAGGAAGAAGGGGATTAAAATTGAGAGCAAAAGTACTTTCAAACAGGTGTCCAGTTAATGTGCTTGCTCATAATTTCCTGTTTACCTCTGCCTGTACAATAAACTTATTCTTACTATTTTTGTGGTTGATACTAGCTGGACTGCTCACGGAAATGTGTTAGTTGTTTAACCAGAAAACTCCCATTTTGTTTCAATCCTGGTTGACGCATCATTTTTCCATTCAGTTAAAAAATGTAGGTTAATGGAACTGTGTTTGAATTTGGCACTTGTTAATTTAGTGAGACCATGATGTGTCGTGGGAGGCTGTTTTTTTGTGTATCATGTGGTAAAATAGAGATTCCTGGAAGCATGTGTTCCTACTTGTGTACACATTTTGCCAGTATCTTTCATATTTGAAAATGTTTTAGATCTTTGAGAATAGGTATAGGTACAGCTATGTGGATTTTTTTTGCATATAAAACCAATAAAATGGTTTTGTTTTCTTTGCCTGCAGTTGGCAGAGTTGGACTAGATTACTTCTGAACCTTCATGGAAGTCTTAATTGATAACTGAATCTGTATGATTTCAATGGCTAGAGTCTAATGGGGCAGGACTATCTCAACTTCCTTTCAAGGTTAAGGAGGTAAAGATTATGGGCTTAAGAATCAGTCTGCTGACTGCAGTGTGTATATCACGAGATGTGATTTTTCACAGGTTTTGTGGGAGATTATTTTCCTTTTTTCTTAAAATCTTGAGAAGAACAAATGAACAAGTTGTTGGAATATCTTTTTATTATTGCAATCATATGAGTGAGAAAAACATATTTGAATCATTTCTTAGGGTATAAAGGGAAATATTCTTGCTTATCCTATAGATGTTTTTACCAGAAAATTAGGATTAAAAAAAATCCAGGCCCCGTGTCATGTGATTATCTTCAATAATTTGGGGCTTCAGAAATGTTTTACAGATATATAAAGGAAATTGTGTTGCCAAGAATAAAAGTAAAAAAGAATCTAAATGTATATAGAATTTCTGTATGGCTTCCTGAAAACAGACTCAAAATACTCTGTTATTCTACTCAGGTCACTGCATTTCGATGGTTGACATTTCATATTAATTCATATGATTCTTTTAATTTTGCAGAGATGCTGATGCCACCAGAATAGATATTTATGCAGGTAAGTCAGGCTTCAGTCCTTCTGATGTCTAGTTCATCTTAATGCATTTATTACTGTGCCTAAGAAGAATTGAGTGGGAGATAACTGGATTCTGGAGCCTGGGAAGATGGCATGGTTGTTCCAGGTTATAGGTAGAAAAGGGGCAGCCATAGTCAGGTATGGTCAGCTTTGGTCAGACATAGAAACCAATAATACTGGTTTCAAGAAACTAACACAGGGTATCCAAATCTATGTAAATAGCTGCAAGTAGAGTTATGGTAGTGATGGAGTGGAATAGTAGAAAAGGTAATGACCAAGTTATTTTACTGGTAGGAGTTAGTAGATGAATGAGGTTTGTGGTACCTGCAGCCAAGGAGAGATCTTGTTGGAGGCCACTTTCTTTTGAACCCTTGGTGAGCACTAGTCTCAACTTGGCAGAATTGCTGGTATCAGTTGCAGAAAATAGCAGTGACTGGATTGGCTCAAAGTTTGCCAAGTTCTCAAACAGAGGTGTCAGGAAGGAAGGCTGCATGGCTTGGAATTTACACCTGTCAGCATCCTGTTTCATTTTGCTTATTTGGCTCTGCTGTTTTGTAGTAAGATCCTCTTTTTTTCCTAGAGTGAGTGCAACAGTCATTGGCCTTTTAATTAATTAACAAATTAATTAATTTTAATAGTTTGCTTTCTGCCTGGTATTTGTACCGGCACCTTTGTGTGTGTGTGTGTGTGTGTGTGTGTGTGTGTGTGTGTGTGTACTGGCACCTTTTTTAGCCATTTGAACACTAAAAATTTGAAAGCAGAATAGAAGACAGATTTTAAATACAGTTTGACTAGTGTAATGTGTTTTTTTCAGACTTTTCTGAAATCTTCTAAAATGTGTGAGGTAATATTTTGAGTAGCATGGACTAGATTCTGAGAAGTCTGTATGTTTATGTGGGAATGAAATAGCCCCTCTTCATGGACCCTTTGGATGAACGGGAACAAGCACACAACTAAGTAGTAATTCTCAGAACCACTAATGTCATATAATTATGAAGAATCTGTACCAGATTTAATGAATTTCTCATGTCTGCTGTACTTTGGAGCAAAGAAAGTCCTCAGAGCAGTTAAAAGTCAGCTGTACTCCTTCAATTCTGAAAGACTTTTGTTCAAAAGGCTCTGTCAAAGTGGTGAGAATAAGGCTGCTTTTCTTTTTAGAAGAAAGTAACAGGAAAAAGGGGCACACAGGAAAAGAAGGTTAGAAGATGGTTACTAAGTGCTCATGCCAGATGGAGCTACCTTTCCAAGGCAAAACATGTTTCTTACATCTGAGTGTGCTTTCTCAGGAGTGGTAACAGCTATCATTGGAAAAATAGGTCTCGTTTAATCATTGCACAGATGATAAAGCAGAGAATGGGCCTGTACTCCAAGTGATGTTGAAGGCACAAATCATAGTAGTCAAGTCTACTTGGAAGAAGTTTTTAAAAAGAGATTATCTCTGCCCTCTCCTACCACATTTGGTAGGTGAATTTCAGCAAGGAAATGTAGTTGCTGACACTCAGAATGAAGTTAGATATCAATAAATGAAAAAGGTCCCAGTGCATCTTTATTCTGTGCTCAATACAACTCCTGTTGTGCTTTGCGAAAAGTCCAGAGAGGATGAGATTGGGGTCTTTGCTTAGTCTTTAATTGGAGAGACAATTAGTGCACTACAGATGATTAGAGAACAATAACTAGATCTTGAGGGAACAGTCAAGAAGACACTTAAGGATTAAATGGTATGATAGAAACACCACAGCATTTTGGAAAAAGACTTGATTTACATCAAGTACCAGGAGACTGGGATTCTTGGCTGAGGGATCTTTAACCTTATACTCTTCTACCTCAAGGGCCTTATTAATACATTGAACAGGAGAAAGAAATCAGTGGAATCTTTTTTTTTTTTCAGCAGGAGAAATAAATCAGTAGAATCTTTTTCTTTTTTATATGAAGGAGTGCAGTGTGCTATCTAAGCTTACTGCAACCTCTGCCTCTTGGGCTCAAGTGATCCTCCCACCTCAGCCTCCCGAGTAGCTGGGACTATAGGCACACACCACCATGCCCAGCTAATTTTTTATGTATATATTTTCACTGTGTTGCCCAGGCTGGTCTCAAATTCCTGAGCTCCAGTAATCCGACTGCCTCAGCCTCCCAAAGTGCTGGGCTTACAGGCTGAGCCAACGCGCCTGGCTAGTAATAATCTTAATACTACAAAGTTCTTGTTGTTAGTTTATGGGGGAAGGTATTTTCTTATCTCCACTTCTGAAACTAGACTGATAACTGGACTTGGAAATCTTCCCAAACATCAGATGTAGTTTGAAGTCACCACAAAGTTACATTATAAAGGCTGTTTTTAAACCTAAAAAGTGCAAGAAAGGAGCCAACCTCAAAGTGTAGAGGTGTTCATTTACCCAAAGCATATTATTAGTTGGATTGTTGTTATTGTAGATCATAAAATGCCTAAATAGACTGTTTTTGTTTACTTTGTTGAATTTCTGGGGTAGGCAGTGCCATCTCCTTCGAAAAAAAGATCCTTCTTGTGATGTCAGGGCAATGATTAATACTTGGAAAATTGGAGCAAATGAAACTACAATTAATACTGCTCAAACAGATTGTAGAGTATGATGAAGAACTTGGATGTTAGGCTGGGTGTGGTGGCTCATGCCTATAATCCCAGCACTTTGGGAGGTCGAGGTGGGCAGATCAAGTCAGGAGTTCAAGACTAGCCTGACCAACGTGGTGAAACCTTGTCTCTACTAAAAATACAAAAATTAGTCCTGGCATGGTGGTGTGCGCCTGTAGTCCCAGCTACTTGCGAGGCTGAGGCAGGAGAATCGCTTGAACCTGGGAGGCGGAGGTTGCAGTCAGCCAAGATCGAGCCACTGCACTCCAGCCTGGTGACAGAGAAAGACTATCCAGAACAAACAAACAAACAAGCTTGGAAGTCGTTTTATTATAGCCTCTGCTAGGACACCATTATTTTATCACCTTTGACTTTTGGATGTATAGCTCCATTTGACATCCCTTGTCCTTTTCTGTCTTCTTTCTTTATTCTTCCCAGTGGGAGTTAGGAATGTCTGGCTTGGAGTAGCCACACTTGGCCATGTTGGGAGATGTGCAGACTTTCAGATTGGCTCTGACAGTCTTACATAGCTGTTTCCAGGACGTGAAGCTAAGCTGCAAAGCAGGCAGTTCAGCTTTGCCTTCTCTGTCCTGCTTTCAAGATGTGTGATGGGAGGCGGGGACGTACAACCCCCAGCTGCTTACACTCTTCTCCATCCAGAATTCCCCCTTCTTTATCTTTGAAGGTTTCGGATATCGCTCAGTTGACTGACTAAATATCAGGTGATAGGAGATAGTTTTGAGCAAGGAAGCCTTCAGGTTCTTTCTTGCTCCAGTTTAGTGCTTCTCAAAGGGTGGGCCACCCACAGACATTGTCAAATATCATCTTGGAACTTGTTAGAAGTGCAGATGCCCCACCTCAGACTTACACAGACTATCCAGTGGGAGCCCAGAATCTGTATTTTCACAAGCTCTTTGGATAATTCTTACACATAACTACATTTTGTTCTAGCCAGTACTTTTCTCAGCCTTCTTCAGCTTAAACCTTCCTGTCCTTCCTAGCTTATCTGCTGCAGGCAGTAGAGTCCATTAGACTGTAAACTTTATGAAGATAGTGATCACATCTATATTTTCCACTCTCTTGTGCTCATCACAACCAGGCACAGAAGAACTGATCACCAAGTAGTCATTGAATAAACAAGTGATTGGCATCAGCATTGAAACAAGGTGAAGAGACCACACTGTGTCTGTTTACAAAGTTGAAGAAGTCAATACTGTCTTAGCCTTTCTTGGCCGTGAGCAGTATTGCATGTGACCATGGACCTAGATGCTACTAGCCATTTATAGGCTGTTGGTTACATTGTGGCCAGGAGGATCTTCCTAGTGTTATCTCTTACCCTTTAAACTACATAAAAAAGCTTTGAAATGAAGTCCTTGAGCCAGAAAAGGATCTCAGCCCCACTGTTATGTGATGATTGTGTGCTAAAGCAGCCTGAGAGTTCTGTCCTAACACACACAAGGGCCTAGAAAGTAACTTCTTAGGCAGTGTCCGAGGAATGCCAGTAGTCCTTGGGGACTTTTCATATGTGTTTGGCTTGAATCAATTTCTAGATCCCAAAGCAGAGTCTTCATGCACATTTTTTTTTTTTTTTTTTTTTAAGATGGGGTTTCACCATGTTGGTCAGGCTGGTCTTGAACTCCCGACCTCAGGTGATCTGCCCACCTTGGCCTCCAAAGTGCTTGGATTACAGGCGTGAGCCACCACGCCCGGCTCTTCATGAACATTTTATGACTGTAGTATACATCAAATGTCTTTTGGCTAGGTTTAGAACGCTGCTTTTACCATTCTCTGTACCTGACCCAGTTTGAATTTTCATATGACACTTGGCTTCCTCCAGATGGAAATTTTGAAGCCTTTTGCACTTTTATTGTACTTGTTCTTGATTGCCACATCTCATTTGGATTCCCCGGACTGATTAGAGGCACTGCCACCAGGAGAAATTTTGTCTAACCAATAGTACTTCCAGGAAGATCCTCATCCTTGAACTTTCAAGAAGCACTTGTAATTAAGCTCAGCTTTCTGAACACTAAGTGATACTTGAAAATTTCTGTGGTTTATAGCTTTGCCGAAATAGCATTTTAACTTACATGGATAAGTCTATTTAACAGAGGGCAGTCACTACTCACTTGAGTTTTTAGCCTGAAGGAAGGACAAATACCATTTACAACAGATTTGTTGGCTTAGGTAGTTGTACAAAGTTGGTGAACTTGGGGAGATTAAAATATCCTCAGTTAGGGACCAGGCTCCAGAGCAGCCTTGGGCTTGCCCTTGTATTACCTTACACAGACCTCTTTCCTCTTAAAAGTGCTGCCTTTATCCCTGTGCCAATCAGTAGACTGAATAGCATCTATATGAGCAGCTGGCTTGTTTGGTTTATGTGGGTCCCCTGCCTATACCTCTGCCTCACATCCTTCTCATCTTTGTGTCTGTCAGCTTCCTTGATTCCAAGGCTGGTTTCCTCCTTTGTTCACCTAGTCCTCATTGAGTCAAAAGGCATCTTGGAAACTAGTATAGCCTCTTTCCATATTTGGGAATTGCTTCTCCATTGACCATGACATGCTTGGACCCAGACTACGTTCAGTTACCATTTGCTGCTGCAGAAGACAACTGCTGAGAGAAAAGGTTCTTTTCACTGGAATGGCAGCCATAGTTTATTGTGTTCCTTTTTTATTGGCTAGGTAACCCCACTGCAGCTGCTGTACATCTTATTGTCTAAAGGACCATTCTCTCTTCCTGTCAGGCATGTCAGCTAGGAACCAGGCACCTCCCACTGCACCATATGCCTTCTTACTATTGGGTTGGGGAGCGCTTTCAAGGACCATAGCTAGCTGGGGATATGATGATGAATGCAGATAGCTCACAATGCCAGTCAGCCTTGTGATGCTCATGTATAGACACAGTACTTCATCTTTTAGATAGTAGCTTCCACTGCTGCGCCCATACCATGTCTGATTGCATCACTTTGAAGGCTACCCCAGACTTACGGAGGCACCCTGTTGAGTTTGAGCAATGTTGATAAGATATGGTGTGTAGTAGTTGGAGTACTTTAGTGCTTGGGGTCTATGGCATAGGGCAGAAGAGATAGTAATCCAGGTGGAATGAGCAGAAGGATAAAGGTGATTGAGATATGTGTGAGGTATGTGCATATTCAGTGGTGGTGGGTATGACCAGATGCCGGACCAGATATCCCTACCCTCATAGATTCTCTCAATCTTTGTTATGAACCTAGAAAGCACTGGAGAACCTTGGATGGGAATTTGCAACCTCAAGGACCCTGAAGTTTAATTCACACTAGCCAAGAAAGCTAGGCTTGACTGACCTTTTTGGACCAAGCTTCACATTGATCTGCCTTCTGATCATGCCCATGTTACCCACCAGAGGGTGAATGAACATATTATTGTCTATTACTAGAGGGTGGGTAACAGCCCAGTGATGGCAGCTGCTTCTTTTGCAGAAAGACGAGAGGACCTTCGAGGAGGATTTATGCTTTGCTTTTTGGATGATGGAGCGGGAATGGATCCAAGTAAGTGATGAGATTATTGGTTTTTTTTGGGCGGGGTGGGGGTTTGCGACGTAACCATTTTTACAAAGTATTTATTATGTGAATTTGTTTTTCTGTTGCCTCAATGTTACATCTTTTTTTTTTTTTTTTTTTTTTTTTTAAATATATTTCGCCTGTAATCCCAGTACTTCGGGAGGCTGAGGCGGGTGGATCACAAGGTCAAGAGATCGAGACCATCCTGGTCAACATGGTGAAACCCCGTCTCTACTGAAAATACAAAACATTAGCTGGGCATGGTGGCGCGTGCCTGTAATCCCAGCTACTCAGGAGGCTGAGGCAGGAGAATTGCCTGAACCCAGGAGGCGGAGGTTGTGGTGAGCTGAGATCGCACCATTGCACTCCAGCCTGGGTAACAAGAGCAAAACTCCATCTCAAAATAAATAAATAAATATATTTCGCTGACTAATATGCTTAACCTCAATGTTATGTCTGAAAGATCCACCTGGGGAGTAAGAAGTCTGTTGCAACATCTCAGGCTTAATTCTACCAGTGTCTTTGCCATGTCTTGTCCTAATATGGGAGATACGATCTGAAAGGCAATCTTAAGTCAATCAGATTTCCTGACTGTTACATTGCATTTATCAGCTTGCACAACATTCTCGAGCTGAAACTACAGAGGCCTCCCTAGCTGTCTTACTTCATTCTGAGAATAGAACATAGGTCACAGTGATGGAGGTACCAACAGGCCAGGCAAATCTGTGCCTCTATTTGCTTCATGGTGATGAATTTCCTCGGAGGGAGGTTTTCAGTAAACACACAGCCCTGCTTGGATTTAAAAAGGCCCAGACTTTTGACTTTGAGGACCCTGGGAAAAAAATGCAAACTTAACACTTTCTCTTGTGTTTGCCCCTTCAGGTGATGCAGCCAGTGTGATCCAGTTTGGGAAGTCGGCCAAGCGAACACCTGAGTCCACTCAGATTGGACAATATGGGAATGGGTTAAAATCGTAGGTATATTAGAGGCTTGTCACAGGGCTCAAAATCCAACAATGCTGTCCTGCTTCTCTTGGATGAAAACTTTCCTTCTCCTTGTCCCTCTATGACTATAATTCTGGAACTGGAAGAAAATCAGAAAGTGGTGGTTTTTGGAGTAGCTTACTAGCTGTTCCCAACTGAGTTTGTTCCACAGATTGAAAAGTATGAACATCCAAAACAGGACAGGAGAGGCTGTAAGTTTCTCTTGGCACTGTGTTCTAGTACTGCACCTCTCCAATTCTTATTTTTACCCTGTAGTCAAGGATGTGAGTAATTCTCTTGTGTTAGGATGTCTGAGATGATGAAGGGGTTGCTTTACTGTGCAGCAGTGTTCCCTGAGCACCTGCTGCATGTCATGTTTTGTGTCTGGTACTGGGGATCCAGGGTAAGGAAGAGAGATGTCCCAGAGGATGCCGAATATACTGCAGGGCCCTATAGCAGGGACCTATCTAATGACTGCAAATCCCATGGGACTTTTTCTTAGTCCTTGCTTCCCACTTGGTTAGTGTTTGGAATGTGTTGTTCTGGTTTTGAGTGAAGCCCCAAGAGAAAGGTTTCTATTTCTGACATGCTCACTTCCAGCTGTACATACCTTTGGATGGAATAAGATTTAGTGGAATTGGAGTTCGTGCAAATGGAGTTATGAGTCACGTTTCCAGTCTTGCTGTGGAAATCTGTTGTTTTGTGTGAGGGAGGGTGGTGGTTTGATCAGTCAGCAGCATCACTTGGTCCTCACTTGCAGTATGCTTTGGATGAGTGGAGAAGGGAGTACTTCCAAAGAAATCAGACCTGGTACCTGGACTTTGTGATTTGTGTTTCAGGGCAGGAAGCAAATGGTAATAACAGACACTTAACATCTGCCAGTCACTGTGCTATAAACTACACGAATGATCTCATTTAAGCCTCATGATGGCCCTATGAGGTTGTAGGTACTATTATTCTCATTTCCAGTTGAAGAAATTTGAGGTTTCTAGGGGTGAAGTTACTTTCCCAAAGGCATAAAAATGCCTATGTATACAGCTGGGGTAGAAACCAGGTCTTTCTGACTGCAAAATGGAGCTGCTGTCCATTTCACTTAAATGACAAGCTAAGGTTCAAATCTCACTTCACCCACTTAATTACATCTGTAAGCCTCAGCTTTCTCCTTTGTAAGTTGACATGATAATGCATACCAAGTAGGTTAAGGATTACATGCTATCACTGCTGTGAAAGCCTGGTTCCTGCCTTTATTTCTCCTCCTTTGATGTTTCCAGGACAGCTTGCTGGCTTGATTCAGTGGATCTGGGTAGGGTCTAGGAATGTTTTTCACAGAGGAAATGAATCACCTGTAATCATATAATTCTGATGCAGGTGATCTAAATCCCCCAAAACTGAGATCTCCTAGTATCAGGAGAAATCCTGACTTGATTGTAGGTCAGCCTCCTCCTACCTGGTTCTATCAGTTCTGTGGCCTCAGGCAAGCCATTTCACCTCTCTGAAAGTCTGTTTCTTAATGGCCTCAGGCAAGCCATTTCACCTCTCTGAATGCCTGTTTCTTAATCTAGAAAATGGGGATCTAATCTCTGACATTGTCCTTTACAGTGTGAGGTTCAGGAACAAATGAAATGTGACTCTGAAAAGTGGTTGGCATACTGGGAAGGAAAGTATATAGAAGATGAGAGTGTTATTAGCATATTTCAGTGGAAGACTTTTTTGTGAAAGTCCTATTGAGATGGAGCCATCTAGTGTTCAGAGTAGACAGTAAAATCATCTTGAAACCCATTCAGAAGTGGAGAAGGTGATTTGTGGGGAGAATAGGGCTGAGAAGCAAGGAAGCTAGTAGAGAAGTGGTATTTGGGGCTTTTGCTATTCAGAGGCCAAGGTCAGAAGGAAGATAGAGGAAACAAAATGAGAGTTTTTGCCAAATTAGGGCAAGGGCATGCTTTGACAGAGGGCAAGATAACGTGCCTCACTTGCTCCCATATGCTTTAGGGAAGGAGGAAGAGGTGGTCTGTGAAATTGTCAGGGCAAGGAGCATTGCCAGCACTTTGGGTACTGGAGGAGGAGAACTAGGACTTGGCAGCCCCCAGGGTATCTTTGAATAGTGTCCTGGGAGTTTTCCTGAGTGTCTGGGGAAATGGGGCATGACATTCATTTGTGTGCTTGGCATGCCATGCTGATTTGTATTTTACACAGAAGAGAGTAATGAGGCTTTCCACCTCCATCATCTCCCTGGGGTGTTATGAAGACTAATGAGATAATAGCCATAAAGCCGCAGAAGCTGCTCGGAAGAAAGGAGCTGAACAGCCCCATTGTTCGGTGGGCAGTTCTCCTGCTGGAGCTTCAGGCTTCTGCCCTGCCTTGCATTGCCTGGAAAGGCCTGTCCCTGCCTGCTCTTTAGCTGGCTTAAGGTGGCCAAACAGAGGAAGGAAGCAGTTGATTTCATTTAGACTTTTGCCTTTTGGAAATCAGCCTCGAGGCACAGTTCCCAGAAACCAGTTGCATCCAAAAGCAGGGAGCTGCCTGTGTTGTAACGAGCCTGAGGTGGCAAAACAATTCTGAGACAGGAGATGGCTCTTAATTATTGGACATGAGCTAATTACAGGCCTCCTTGAATCCTGTGGTCAATAATTAATTTTATTAGCCCCTCTGTATTGCTGCACCTTGGGTTCATACTGGTTTTTTGAGGGCTTATGAGTATAGACACTGGGCTTTTCACTTGACAGTGCTGCTGTTTGGTGAATGGAGGGGAGTTTGTGTCAGCTGAGGAAGGACACAGTGGGAACTGGGTGTGGTCAGCAGGGAATATGACGTGTTGAGGGTACCAGCTACTAAAATCTGATGGTGGTATAGTCAGAGGGCACAGCACCTCATGTGGCTGGGATGAACCCAGAGCTCAAACACAGCAGGGTTGCCCTTCAGCATTGTGGCAATAGGCAGGGAGTGAGACTAACCTGGGGCTGGTGGTCAGCAATGAGCCCGCCCTAGAAGGGTGGTGAGAGAACCCTGTATGGTGTGGTTGAGAAGGTTCTAAGTAAAGACTAAGGAGTTACAGGCCTGTGGAAAAGGAGAGCAAGGAAGGTTGGGGGTTGGAGAGAGCATAAGAGCTGTGGAACTCAGCACAGTGTCCTGGGACCTAGGGAGGCCTTTAGGAGGGCCTTCCAGCCAGGTCCAGAGAGTGGATTGATTTCTTTCGCAGATGAGCTTTTGACTCCCTGGGAGAATAACAGATTTCTGCTTTCTTTTCAGGGGCTCAATGCGCATTGGGAAGGATTTTATCCTGTTCACCAAGAAGGAAGACACCATGACCTGCCTCTTTCTGTCTCGTACCTTTCATGAGGAAGAAGGCATTGATGAAGTAGGTCCCATCCTCGTGGTCTGAATCACCAGTCCCCATTTCCTCAGTCTGCCCAGGCAGTTTTCGTAGGTGGTTTGCAATGCTAGACTCTTTGGGTTTGCAGAATTGGAGCATATTTCCCCTAATTGTTATGCAGTTAGCTGGTTAGATGAATTGGTTGAGGAGTTGAGGTAGATAACTTTAATGTGAGAGGAAGCGAGATCTCAGAGCTTTTCAGAGAATAATTGTGTATGAGAATGAGATTGTCAACTGGCAGAAATTAAGAGTTGGATTTGCAGCTCCTTTAGATCTGCTACTTGAATTCCATCTTGCAGGGAGTGTTACCATGGAGCATTGTTCTGTCAGGGGGAGTATTTTGGGCTTCCCTAACCATGTGTCTTTCCTATTTAATGGTGATTTTGTGGAATGTGCTATGAGCTCATTTTCCTTTTGAGGAAATGTATTACTCTATGTCAGAAACTATGACTCAGATACCTAGAGAGAGCCTGGGCAGGTAGTAAAGCAGGTGAGTGTATGGAGAACAGGAGGAGCTGATGCTCTGGGTCTTAACCTTGGGAGTGGCTGCTGCACAGCCCAGTGATTATTGCTATGCTGGAAGGAAGGACTAATAAATCCAGAATACTCTGAGTTTAAATCATTTTGATAATTGATTGTGTAAGCTAAATGCATGCTTGGCTGGTTCTCCCTGTGGCCTTGTGGCTCAGATATCTGCAGAGCCGTTTCTGGTGAAGTTGGTGTCCCCTCGTTGTGGGGGATCAGGGCAGTCTTGTGGCCAACCCAGCCTCAGACTGGACTCTTACCTCCTTTCCTATGTAAGACATGGAGGCCTGGGCTTGAAAGAAGGGGGCTAAGAGATTCTATAGAAAGAAATCCACAACTTGGACAGAGGCAGGTAGTTGAATTCAAACTTTTTTTTTAATTGTTGGCTCTGAGTACAGATGAATTCAAACTTTCAATTTAATTCATCTGTGTTAAATGTGTTGATTAGCTGTGATTAAATTTGTTCTGGTCCTGTTTAGATCTGAGCCTTAATCATAGCAAACTTGTTCAGGTAGGGAATGGCAGGCCTTCCATCATAATATAGCAAGCCAGTGGGTTTGTTTGCCTTTTTGGTGTGATATGTTAGTTCATTCTGCATACTTGGAGTGAGAGAAGAGTGGCAGCTGGAAAGAACGGGCTTCCCGGAGAAGTAGGACAGGAAAATATAGCCTGGGTTGGGGTTTTCAGGAATGTTTCCTGATATAGGACTAAAGATGGTGACAGGAGGGTATAGAAGTCAGTAGAAGCAGCCTGCTCAAGGCCCTGAGAGCTATGGGAGGAGACTTGGCAGTAGGGCCACCTGGAGAAAGGTGGTGGCCTTTGGAGATCAGGGAGGGCCAGGTTAGGTTTGACCTCAGGACCTTGATGAATGTGTGGGGCTTTATTAAGCAAGGGTGTGCCAGTATCAGATTCTTTTAAGAAAGTCCATGTGGCAATTGTGTGGTGATTGGGTTGAAAAGATTAAGGTATTACAGTTGAGAGGCCCAGGCTCTGTGTAGTTTGGTGGTACTTGCCCAAGGGAGGTGAGAGAAATACATGAAGTTGCCATCTCTGGGACCCACAGATTTGGTGATTGATTGATTAGTGGAAGGTGAAAGCGAAGGGGAGGAGTCATGGATTACTCACAGGTTCTGCTGTGACAGTTGGGGTGTGGGCTGTCTGGAGTTGGGAAGAATGAAGAGGGGAAGTATGCAGGGGAAGAGTATAAGTTTCTTTCGGACATACAAAGTGAAGTCTGGGTCTGGTGTATGGGGGAGGCCTGGAGGCTTCAGGATTCTTGGTCGCAAATGAGGTCACCTAATGGAGAGAATAGAGTGAGAAGAGGACCTGGGACCTAGAGCGTGCCAGTATCTAAATGTTGGAGGAGGAGAGGGAGGCCAGAGGGACAAAGGGGTAGCCAGAAAGGTAGGAAGAAAACTGGTCAAGTGGTACCATTGAAACTAAAGGAGAAGTGTTCAGGAGGGGAGGAATGGGTGCCTGTGGAAGTGAATGCCAGTGTTCAAAGTGATGCCATTTTCACCTGGGACTGCTGTGAAGAATGAGAGGCATAGTGTGAGGTACAGGTTTACAGAACACAAATGGAACTCAGTTCCCCTGGTGGAGAGGCTAGGTTGAGATTTTTTCCTTACTTGGTGCTAGAAGGTCACTATTTTGGATTGTACTCCAGTGCAAACTCAGCCAAGATTTCAAAATAAGATCATTTTAGGCTGAGGAGGAATGTGCCCAGACCAGCCCTGAGTTGAATACTTTCAGCACAAAGCTTCTTAGAAACCAGCAAAATGCCCCAGGTGCAGTGGCTCATGCCTACAATCTCAGCACTTTGGGAGGCTGAGGCAGGCGGATTATGAGGTCAGGAGTTTGAGACCGGCCTGGCCAACATGGTGAAATCCTGTCTCTACTAAAAATACAAAAATTAGCCAAGTGTGGTGGTGCATGCCTGTAATCCCAGCTACTCGGGAGTCTAAAGCAGGAGAATTGCTTGAACCAGGCAGGCAGAGGTTGCAGTGAGCTGAGATTGTACCATTCATTACACTCCAGCCTGGGTGACAAGAGCAAGACTGTCTCCCAAAAAAAAAAAAAAAACCCAGCAAAATGTCTTAGAACTCTTACCAGTTTACCACCCCAGCACTTGTTAAGATTACAGAGTCCCTTTTTCCTAAGGGTTTGAACCACTGAGGTGCCTAGCCTGGCTTGCTCTGCAGAGGAAGCCCTTCAGGCAGCTGTCTGCATGACTGCAAGGGCTTCGGCCTAGTAACCACGGAGGGAGGAGCATAGTGAGGCCTCTGGCGAAATGGTATATGAGGTTGGGTTTTCGAAGAAAGAGTAGGATTTAAAAAAAAATATCGCGTAGACATTATTAAAACTAAATTCCACATAAATGAAAGAGTGTATTGAAATATTTGTACAGTTCAGAGGATAATTTTAAAGTCGATACCTGTGTTGCTACCATCACAGACTGATATTAGAAGTGCCCTGTGTGCCCTCACCAGTTATATTTCTTGTTGTGCCCCTGAAAGAACTGCCTTCAGGTAACTTTTGTGATAATGATTTCCTTCTTTTTCACTATAGTTTGTCACCTTTGTATGCATCCTTAAATAATAGTTTCGTTTTGCTTATTTGTGAATTTTTAGACATAGACTTGTACTATACGTATTTTTTGTATCTTATTTCATATAACATTGTGTTTATGATGTTCATCCATGTTGATGCTAGTAGAGATTAGTTTGTTCCTTTGCATCACTACATAATTTTCCATTGTACAGTTTAATTTGGCCACTCTAGAATAGATATTTGAGTTATTTTTATTTTTACTTTTTTGAGATGGAGTCTTGCTCTGTCACCCAGGCTGGAGTGCAGTGGTGCCATCTCGGCTCACTGCAACCCCTGCCTCCTGGGTTCAAGTAATTATGCCTCAGCCTCCCAACTAGCCGGGGGTACAGGTGCACGCTGCCACACCTGGTTTATTTATTTGTATTTTAGTAGAGACGGGGTTTCTCTGTGTTGCCCAGGCTGGTCTCGAACTCCTAAGAGCTCAGGTGATCTGCCCGCCTTGGTCTCCCAAAGTTCTGGGATTATGGATGTGAGCCACTGTGCCTGGCCCGGGTTATTTTTCTACATGTTTACTGGTACATATGTACAAACGTTTTTCTTAGGGTAGGTATGTACCTAGGAGTGGACTTGCCGAGTTGTAGGTTATGTTATGTGTATCTGCAGATTCACTAGATAATTGCAAATATATTCCCTAGTGGTAAGAGTTTTTACCAAAATAAGAAAATGACCAGGGGCGTCCCAAGCAGGGAACTTCCCATGCAGAGACTCTAAACATATAAACCAACATATCCTGAAGGAAGTAATCGTGTGGCTGAGTCTTGGGAAGAGGCGGAAGCCCTCAAGCTCACAGAGCATCTGGTGGCTGGCTGTAGAGCTTGGGCCTCACAGCAGTATGGAGCTACAGTGTGGTGAGGGACAAGATAGATGCACATTTGGGAGGAAGGCTGTTCTGGGGCCTCCCTTAAAGTGCCTGCTCATGTTTATTCCACAGGTGATAGTCCCACTGCCCACCTGGAATGCTCGGACCCGGGAACCTGTCACAGACAATGTAGAGAAATTTGCCATTGAGACAGAACTCATCTATAAGTACTCTCCTTTTCGCACTGAGGAGGAAGTGATGACCCAATTTATGAAGATTCCTGGGGACAGCGGTAAGCAAGCTTTGAGCCTGCAGCCCCTAGAATCTGGGACCTCCAGAATCATAAGTGGTGTGGGAATGGGCCGGGGCACCTGGCAGGACAAAGGGTTTCTGTTTTTCAGGAACACTGGTGATCATCTTCAATCTCAAGCTCATGGATAATGGAGAGCCAGAGCTAGACATAATCTCAAATCCAAGAGATATCCAAATGGCAGAGACATCCCCAGAGGGCACGTGAGTGTGGCTGGGAAGGGAGGGAGGCCCTAGGACTGGTGTTGGTGCTCTCAGGAGGTGGCTTCAGGGAAAGAAGGGAGAGCACATTCCTTGGAATTCTCTTGGTGGCATCATTAGAGTTGATGGAACTGAGAGTGCCACGTCTTCTTGCTACAAGACAGAAGGATGAGTAGGACAACAGATCCTCAGCTAAGCTAATAGAAAAAGTTAATAATCCCCAATCCAACTCCTTGATTTGGCAGGAGGAGAAACTGAGTCCTAGAGTGGGGAGAGGAATTGCCCAGGGTTCTGTGGTAGGGTAGTAAAAGGGCCAGATCAGTTGCCTGTGGTGTACCCGTGCTGAGGATGTGAGAGGGGCAGGATTTGGTGCTCACACTAAGGGAGCACTGGGTCAGGGCATCAAGAGAAACCAGTACCTAACATGGAAAGGTGGAGAGCTTGCAGAGAGGATGTTGTGTCCTTGGTCAGCCCTGTTCTGGAACAGGTGACAGCACTTCTCTGTTCTTGCCCACTCCAGGAAGCCAGAGCGGCGTTCGTTCCGGGCCTATGCTGCTGTGCTGTATATTGATCCCCGGATGAGGATCTTCATCCACGGGCACAAGGTTCAGACCAAGAGGCTCTCCTGCTGCCTGTACAAGCCCAGGTAGGGGCTGGTGCACCCTGGCCTGCTGTCTCCCATGGGCCGAGGATGTGGCTGTGTTTCTCTGGGGCGTTGTTGGAGGGATGCTGTATGAGAGGCTCTGGTAGTGCTATGTTTGGGCCTTTAAGTTGCCTGTGACTGGTCACAGGGTCAGTTCTGGGTCCTAGGGGAGGGACAGATAGGCTGTGGAGGTGGCTGGATAAGCTCATTATGTGTGTGTGCCTCTGTGACAGGGAGGGTGTCCTGCCTGGCACAGTGAGCTGTCTTGAGTTGCTCGGCTTTAGGACCAAGGGGCCTTTAGACACTACATAGGAAAGTAATGGCTTTGGCTTATTCCTGAGGTTTGTTTCTGCTTTAGGATGAATGACACCCCCGGCGAATAGTTAGGTTGCTTATCAAAGACAGAGCAGTAGGCTAAGGGCAAGTGGAATTAGGAATTGCGTCTTTTTGCTGAATTGAGCTTGGATTTGTCTTATCAAAAGGGGCCAGGAAAGCACAGCTTGGGAGGAGGCAGGAAGGCAGGATGCTTCCTGTGCTTGGGTGTGCCACCTGCCCCACTGCTGCGCGGGCCCTCAGCTTGCTTTTTCCACTGATCAGGATGTACAAGTACACGTCAAGCCGTTTCAAGACCCGTGCGGAGCAGGAGGTGAAGAAAGCAGAGCACGTAGCAAGGATTGGTAATGCCACTCCCGGTGCAGGAGTAGGGTGCGGGGGCATCTGGGGTATGCTGCTTGTGGCCAAAGTGGGGTTCCAGGGAAAGGCTGAGTCCACCATTCAGGAACAAGGCTGTTCTCCTGAAGCATAGTTCAGTTGTTCCTTTTCAACCCCTTCCTCCACATGCCAACTCCCTCAGCATTTCTTCTTTCTAGAGTCCAGTTTCTCTTCAGCCATTTATAGGGCCTAAAAGTATCAACTCTGGCTTTCCCTGATTGAAGAATCCCACTCAGACCTCTGGCCCAAATACTTGTAAAATTGCTTTTTCTGACTTCAGGGCAAAAATCTCAGGGTCTCTCACGCTGTTTAAGGGCTTCTCAGGGTTTCTTGGCTGCTTGTTGGCGAGTGATTGGCTGAAGACTTCTTTAGCTTCTAGCTCATGCTGAGGGTTTAACTGCTTGCCTTGGGTGTTTTTTTTTAACCTGTTCTGGTTCATTTGTAAAGTTTCCTTGGGGCCTCCATGATGGGTTTGGATGCCAGATTTTCCTTCTGGAACTGACTGCAGTCCAGGCACAGAGGCTGCCCTCACATTGCTCGCCAGCTGTAGCTCCCCGTTGGCTCTCCTTTTCCTTGGTGGTATACACACTTCTTGTCCAGCAGGGACTGCACTGTGGATCCAGGAGGGATGACCAAGAGTTTTCAACCTTTGCATTCCTTACCATGTTCTCCTCTGGGTTTCAGCTGAAGAGAAGGCACGGGAGGCGGAGAGCAAAGCTCGGACATTAGAAGTACGCCTAGGTGGAGACCTCACGCGGGACTCCAGGGTAAGGCCCTGGCCCAGGCGACTGTTCTCCAGCGTTTCTGGTGTTAGAAGCCCGTATCTGCTGGGCGCGGTGATCACACCTGTAATCCCAGAACTTTGGGAGGCTGAGGCAGGCGGATCACCTGAGATCAGGTGTTTGAGACCAGCCTGATCAATATGGTGAAACCCTGCTTTAAAAAAAGAAGCCCATGTCCTGTGAGCCTGGTCAAGTAAAACACAGATTTCGAGTTCGTTTTCTGTAGAAAGAAGTAGATTTCCAGGTGTAGTTTTATATCTTTGAGATTAACTGAGAAGTTTTTGATGTAATGTTTTACTATTCCCTGCTGTGGCCCAGAGTGTCTTCTCCCCTACCCTGATGCAAATGTGTGTGCAGGTGATGTTGCGACAGGTCCAGAACACAGCCATCACTCTGCGCAGAGAAGCTGATGTCAAGAAGAGGATCAAGGAGGCCAAGCAGCGGTGAGTGCCAGGCCTGGCCTTGGATCTTTTAAAATGAGGTAGCTTTTGGACTGATTATTGACAGGTTGCTATTCTGTCACCAAGACTGCTTTGATTAACATTTTGATGCTAAATGCTTGTCAGATGCCCCCTTGCAGGACGGAGGTCTTAACCTGAACTCTTAGCTCTTTCTTGAGTCAAAAAAGGACAGGGCGGGGCTGACACCTCTGATAGAGCGCCGAACCATCCTCTGGCACTGTCTTACTTTTTCTTCCCCTTTTCTTTCTTTTCATTTAAAGGATGTATAAAATGCTCATTGTATAAAACTTGAAAAACATAAAATGTTTAAGGAGTAACATTTTAAAACTCCCTTATACTTCTGCCACCTCATGATACTACCCTATTTTTTATGTTACATATATATTTTTTCACATTCATTTTCTCCCTCACTGGTTATGTATGTAGAATAATGCTGGAGATTGAGTGTTGTATCTTTTTCATTTAGAGCCAGCATTTGTCCTGGATTATTAAGTTACCTGCTTGTCCCATCTCCATGTCTGGAGTCACTTTGGACTCTGTGGTTTGATTTACTGTTTTGCCTCTTGGCCTCCTTGGCGCACGCATGGGTTTCAGGTGTCTTCTGTCCAAGTCAGTCCACTACTCATCCATCTGCTTTTTAGCTCCCATATTTTGTTGACAGTAATCACATAATGGTATCTTCTTGCACATGCTTATTGTTCTTGTGAATTTTTGCTTTTTAAAATAATACTAATTTACTGTCATACTAGTGGAATTTTGGGGAAGTTATGACGATATGCTGGTGTTTATTCCACCATATAACTGTCTTTGCACAGATTTGCAGCAGCTTCATGATAACCCATTCATATTTAAATACATTCTTGTTACCAAAAAGTCAAACTCATTTTTTTTTTTTTTTTTTTTTTTGGAGATGGAGTTTCGCTCTTGTTACCCAGGCTGGAGTGCAATGGCGCGATCTCGGCTCACCGCAACCTCTGCCTCCTGGGTTCAGGCAATTCTGCCTCAGCCTCCTGAGTAGCTGGGATTACAGGCACACGCCACCATGCCCAGCTAATTTTTTTTGTATTTTAGTAGAGATGGGGTTTCACCATGTTGACCAGGATGGTCTCGATCTCTTGACCATGTGATCCACCCGCCTCGGCCTCCCAAAGTGCTGGGATTACAGGCGTGAGCCACTGCACCCGGCCCAAACTCATGTTTTTAATTAGGAATGCTTGAGTTGTTGTGCGGCGCATGTCCGTATCAAGTCTAACAGGCTACACATCGAATAGAGATAGAAAACTTTTGGCTTAACATGTCTCAAGTTTAAGCTTAAGCTTAACACATCTTAAACACCATGGTGCTTGTGTGCTTATGTGTAGATCTGCTTGAATTTTTTTGTCTTCTTAGAGCACTTAAAGAACCAAAGGAACTGAATTTTGTTTTTGGGGTCAACATTGAACACCGGGACCTAGATGGCATGTTCATCTACAACTGTAGCCGGCTGATCAAGATGTATGAGAAAGTGGGCCCACAGCTGGAAGGGGGCATGTGAGTACTACACATGGAGAGCTGTCTAGCCCAAGATAGTTGCAGAAGGGTGTTGGCCAGTGGGGTGACAGAGCTATGTTCTCTTTCTCCCTGCAGGGCATGCGGTGGGGTTGTTGGGGTTGTTGATGTGCCCTACTTAGTCCTGGAGCCTACACACAACAAACAGGACTTTGCTGATGCCAAGGAGTACCGGCACCTGCTCCGAGCAATGGGGGAGCACCTGGCACAGTATTGGAAGGACATTGCCATTGGTAATGGGGCTGAGCTGCTGGGCCTCTGCCTTTTTCTTCACATGAATGTAGGTAGAGAGAAAGGCTGGCTCCAAACATGGAGCCACCTCACGATGGACCCATGGAGCCATCTAACATGATGTATGGGTGTTTGCCTTCCAGCCCAGCGGGGAATCATCAAGTTCTGGGATGAGTTTGGCTACCTGTCTGCCAACTGGAACCAGCCCCCATCCAGCGAGCTGCGTTACAAACGCCGGAGAGCTATGGAAATCCCCACCACCATCCAGTGTGGTGAGTTGGGTGGTTGGACCCTCCTGATTCATTTCCATCAGCTTATGACCCTCTTATCTCTACCTTCATGCCAGCCTCCTGACTTGACTGACATTCACAGACTTACAGTCCCACTAGGGATTCAAGTCTTTTTGGTGATGGCCCTGTGAGCTCAGTCTTGAGGCTTTGCTGAGTTCCACCTGTTTCTCTTGAGTGAGAAAGAAGGTCATCTGACCTCCCAGGTCTCTCCGGCTGCAGCCAGGCCAGGCTCACTCAGTTTGGTACCACATGGTTTCTGGTGTGTGTGTGGATGACTGAGCCAGAATCCTGATAGAGGAGGGAGATGGGCTGGGGGTGTCAAGAGTCCACCATATTAAGTTTCCATCCTGGAGTCAATGTCCCTGAGAAGAATTAGCATTTTCTAAGAACAGGCAGAGTTGGAGCCCGAGTGAAGGTCTTTGCCTACAAAGTCTGGGGTATCTTTGCGGTGGGCCTGTGAGGAGACCAGATTACAGATAGAGTTGGTGGGGTTGGCTGATGTGTGTGGGTTTTTTGTTCTCTGTAGATTTGTGTCTGAAGTGGAGAACCCTCCCCTTCCAGCTGAGTTCTGTGGAAAAAGATTACCCTGACACCTGGGTTTGCTCCATGAACCCTGATCCTGAACAGGACCGGTGAGAACATTCTCTGACAAGGGACTGTGGGTACTTTTCTCTCCTGTCCCTCACTGTTCTCTCTACTCTTGGGATAAATAACTCATTGTGTTTCTTGAGGTCAGTGCACATATCCTTACATCTCTGTTTTGCTGCACCTAGTAAGTGCCCAAGAAATAAGAATAGATATATGTCCTGCAGTACATATGATTAATTCTATGCATTAGGAACTCTGAGGTGGTTGCTCTTGTGGCAGACAGGGCAGGTTGGTTGAAGAGAAAGGTCCTTGCCCAGCCTGGGGCTCCGTTTGCCATGTCCTCCCTAGTACTTCCTCTCTACAGGTGTGAGGCTTCTGAACAGAAGCAGAAGGTTCCCCTAGGAACATTCAGAAAGGACATGAAGACACAGGAAGAAAAGCAGAAACAACTGACAGAGAAAATTCGCCAGCAGCAGGAGAAGCTGGAGGCCCTTCAGGTACGTGGGTCATAGTCAGTGGGCAAAGCCAGCCTTTGTCAGGCTCTGCATGGGAACAGGAACCTTCAGTAGCTTTCCTGTTTCTTCAGGCTCAGTTTTACCCTCCACTCACCTGTGTGTGTTTACCAAAGCTTTCCAACCCCAACCTCCAGGTCCTCGTGCACTGTTTTCCAACAGTGTTATTTTAAGAATAATATCTTGCTTATTCTTAAAGAAAAGTTACTTACATACTTCACAGTTGTCCAATTCATTTAGAATGTATAAAACTTTAGAAAATAAAAATTCTGCCTTAGAGGTAACCATCATTAATCGTACATCCTTCCAATTTGTCATAAATGCATGAATACCTATGCATAATATACATAAATATATATATTTCTTAATAGAAATAGGGAGATCATGCCATATGTATATTTTATGTTAATACATTTTTTTAGTGCATAATTGTTTTGATGATTTTCTAGAAGTGAAATTAAAGGACTTAACAGGGCCATTGTAAATTTATTTGGCTTTTTGCAACTATTTATAAACTACCCTCCAGAGATGTGTTAATTTCTATTATTTACCAGCAGTATATGAGAGTATTATTTTTAAATGTTGTTGCAAATTTGATAGGCAAAGATATGTGTTTTATAATTTAATTTCTTTAATATGTCTAAGATTGTATAACTTTTCATGTGTCCACTTATGTTTCTTTTAGACTTTGCTTATTCACTTAAATTTTTATTTTTGTCTTTTTTTTTCTAGATGTGTCTGTGACATCAACTCTTTATCATATTTATTACAAAATCATTTCCATTTCTGGCTTCTGTGTCTGTGCAGATGTGCTCTCACTAATTCATGATGTCTTAACGCATGCCTCCCTAGCTGCTAAATCCCACCTGTCCTTTCTGGCTTCATCCAAATTTTCCCCATCCGTGGGGCCCTTCCCACCTTTTTGGATTCCTTTTATAGGAATTTAGTCCATTGACACTTTTTCCTGTAATTTGCTGATAGTTGAGTATTTATGTATTTTGTGTGTCTCCAATGAGAAAATAGGAGTTTTATAAGAGTAGGACTGTGGCTCAACTATTTTATTTGTCCCCTGCTCCAGACACTATCCAAAAGGTTTGCTCAAGTATACTAAAATATGCAAACAACTTCATCCTGATTGTTTGCCTTACAGAAAACCACCCCCATCCGCTCCCAAGCAGACCTGAAGAAATTGCCCTTGGAAGTGACCACTAGACCTTCCACTGAGGTGAAGTCCAAGGGCAAGGGAGGGGCTTTTCCTCAGGTATCGCATGCTAGGATCAGTGTTCTCACTCTCTGTGGGCCTTTTTTTTTAAGGAACCTGCACGTAGACCTCAGCGTCCTCGGTCACCCCCTTTACCTGCTGTGATCAGGAATGCCCCCAGCAGACCCCCTTGTCTGCCAACTCCTAGACCAGCCAGCCAGCCACGAAAGGCTCCTGTCATCAGCAGTGCCCCAAAGCCCCCTGCTTTGGCAGCCCGGGAGGAGGCCAGCACATCCAGGCTGCTCCAGCCACCTGAGGTACCCCGAAAGCCTGTCAACACTCTCGTCAAGACTGTATCCCGACCTGCCCCTTTGGTGCAGCAACTGTCACCATCTTTACTGCCCAATTCCAAGAGCTCTCGGGAGGTCCCTTCTCCCAAAGTCATCAAGAATCCAGTGGTGAAGAAGGCAGAGCCACCCATCAAACTCTCCCCGGTGAGAAGCTTATCCTCCTTGATCTCCCAGCCCAGTGTCAGTGGTGTAGGAATGGAATTGTGCAGTGTCATAGCTGTACAGGGGGAGTCTTGGGAAGATAGTCTGGATCTAAAACTTTTGCTGCTGCCCCTGAGGAGGGGACACCTTGATAGCTGAACGAGCTTGTCCAAGGCCATAGAACACATTGGTTGCTTGTACAGTGAGCTCTTCACTGTTCCCTCCGAGTTTTGGTCTGCCACAAACTCGAGTCACCTCCACTGGCTCTTGAAGTATGAGTATAGGTTGGTCTTCTGGTGACAGCCTGAGTGAGCTACAGCAGTGGTCAGTGGTTCTTGGGGAGGTTAACAGCTGACTGGCCAGGCTGACTAAAGTGGGAAGGGAATTGAGAAGCTTCCCCTATGACAGCTTTGAGCAAAGATCCTCATAGCACAGGGGCCAGCAGGTTGCCTGTGTACATTCCAAGTAATGTGAGGCAGAGATTGCAGGGAGTACAAGCTCCTCTTGGAACAGCTCCTTTAGGCTAGATGAAATCTTCCGCCTCCTTAGAGGCTGAACAGGGCCCCTCACATTCTCACGCTACACTTGATCTAGGCTACCCCTAGTCGAAAGCGGAGTGTTGCAGTTTCTGATGAGGAAGAAGTTGAGGAAGAAGCTGAGAGGAGGAAGGAGAGGTGCAAGCGGGGCAGATTTGTTGTGAAGGAGGAAAAGAAGGACTCAAATGAGGTGAGTGGTTGAGGTGGGGTTCTCAGAGCCTCCCCCTCTAGGGCCTGCACCCCTCACCAGCAGTCTGCACCAGCTCTGTTTGTATTCATGGCATGAGCCTTCCAGAAGCCTAGTGATCTCTCAAGGACCCTCAGTCACAGAAATGACTAAACATGGTGCCAGTTAGGGTCTTGGGTAAGACTGGCTTCTGGATTAATCATGGGCCTGAAATCATACAGACGTACATCAGTGGGGCTTGAAACACATTATGTCCCTAAAGGTGGCAGAAGGGTAGGTACCTTGGACAGTGATTTTAGAGTGTGGCTCTCAGTGGGGCTTGGTGATTTAAACTGTAGCATAGGAAATCATAAAGATGATGGCTGATGACCCCAGGTGGTCAGTAAGGCACAAGTCTGCTCTTGAGGGGCACTGAAGTGCCTCTAAAAGACTGCTCTCCACTCAGCTTTCAGACAGTGCTGGGGAAGAGGACTCTGCCGACCTCAAGAGAGCTCAGAAAGGTGAGTTGGGGGAATGACTTGGCAGCCTGTGGTGGGGAGGGGAAGTGGAGCCCTTACCAGCAGCATTTTACCAAAGGCTCGTGGAATCTTTCCTGGGTTGGGCTCTTGTGCAGCAGTGGATCCAAGTCTAATTCCAAGCAGAATTCTGAAGGGATCACCCCTTTGTGGTTATTTTTAACACTAATTCTTTGGTGTTCACTCCTGGTGGTCACTCGTTCTGCTCTTTGCACCGTCATGACAGATGAGAAGAGACAATGGTGGCTGGTCCCTGGTCTGTGTCCCTGGTGTAGTGGAGGCAAGCACCTAGTGTTCCTGTCCTCCAAACCCTGGGGACTGTCTTTCTCAATGTGGCCTGGGTTGAGTGAGGGATTCTAGGCTAGTTTTCTGACTTGCACCTCTCTCTACATTGTCAGATAAAGGGCTGCACGTGGAGGTACGTGTGAATAGGGAGTGGTACACAGGCCGTGTCACAGCCGTGGAGGTGGCCAAGCATGTGGTGCGGTGGAAGGTGAAGTTTGACTACGTACCCACAGACACAACACCGAGAGACCGCTGGTAATGCCCCAGTCAGGGAGAACCAGTAGTTCTCTGGAGGAGGCATCCCCAGCCTCCGTGTTAGCAGCCCATCCTGGGAGCCCGGGTCAGACATAAGCTGTGTCTTCCACAGGGTGGAGAAAGGCAGTGACGATGTGCGGCTGATGAAACCCCCTTCTCCGGAATATCAGAGCCTTGACACGCAGCAGGAGGGCAGGGAGGAAGAGGAGGCCACTGTGGCCCAGCAGGCCATAGCCATGGCAGAGCCCTCCACTTCCGAATGCCTCCGCATCGAGCCTGACACCACCGCCCTGAGCACCAATCACGAGACCATCGACCTGCTCGTTCAGATCCTCCGGTACCTGTTTTTTGTCTTCCCACTCCAGGGCCAGCAGCTTTCCACTTCCTCCATGCTATTCTGAATTCCTGTCCCTGCCTTCTTTAGGAATTGTTTACGGTACTTCCTGCCTCCAAGTTTCCCCATCTCCAAGAAGCAGCTGAGTGCTATGAATTCAGATGAGCTAATATCTTTTCCTCTGGTGAGTCTGGCCTGACCTTCGATTCCATGCTCTTCGTTCCCCCACCCACGCCCCTGCATTTGTTGTAACTGTTGTGATTGTGATTGTTATGCCTGTTGCAGCTGCTAGCTCTCAGCTGTGTGTTCCATCTCAGCCAGCCTCTCTTCTGCTGAAAGGAGAGAGGAGACTTTATAATGTGGAAAAAAAATTGGCTTAGATGGATATGACTCTGGTGTGCAGAAAGCCAACCCCTTCCCACCACAGGTGCTAGGAGTTGAGTCATCCCTTAGGGACAGCAGGTGTAATTTGAGATTTTATGACAAGAATACTCCCTTTCCTCTCCTCCAGCAGAGGGAGTAAACCTGTCCCGGGCAACAGTGAAGAGCTGAGGCTCAAAGTGCAGAAAACTTGACTCTCAGAGGGTGGTAAAGAGAAGCTTGTGATGTGTGGACATAAGCACTGGGTCTTAACTCAGCAAATGCTAAAGGGGTGCCTTGCCCGAGCAGGTGACTGCTGAACCTCATAGTGAGCAGCAAGAGAGTCTTGCCTTCAAGTGGCTCAAGATTCAGTAGAGACTGAGTTGTAAACCAGGTAGCTGGATATGAGGGCAGGATCAGTGAGTGCTGAGAAAGTGGCTAGAAAGGCTGTGGAGGGTTGTGGCGGCCTCAGGGGCAGAGAAAGCAACTGAGTCAGAAGAAAATGTACATTTTGGCCTGCCTGTATAAGTGAAAAGGAGTGTTTGATGTGGGGACTTTTGTGAGCAAAGGCTCTGGGGGAGGGGTCAGGGCAGCAGGCTGTGTGATGAGCATTTAGGGCAGAGGGGCCTGAAAGCCAGGATCTGATGTTTTTGAGCTGCAGAAACTGTCATTCAAACCATGTCTAGGGCAGAGGTCAACACACTTTTTCTGTAGAGGGCCAGTTGGCAAGCAATTTTAGGTTCATAGGCTATACAGTCTCTGTGGCAAAGCCGTTATAGCATGAAAGCAGCCACAGACATGTAAATGGATGTGATGTGTTCCAATGAAGCTTTTTTACAAAAACAGTTGGCAGGCTGATTTGGCCCGGGGGCTGTAAGTCTGCTGCCCCTGCCCCTAAGAGGGTAATTTGGGTAGCAGCATGTTTGGGTAGGATGGGTGCATAGGAGATGCAGGGGCAAGACGGCTGGTCCTATGTAAAAGGTCAGAGGTAAAAGAATGGGAACAGGAGCCAGCGTGGTGGCAGTGGGCTTGGGGGTGAAAAGGCTGTGTCAGAGGTCAGCAGACTGATTCATAGATTGTAGGCAAGTGACTCGGGCCTGTGGGAATTGGAAGTTGATGACAAAGCTATTAACTAGGAGAGAAAAAATGGGTGAATGCAACAAAGGTGATGAGTGGAGGTTTGTGTGGTGCAGGAAGTGCCCTCACTACCATTCCAGTGATGTGCAGTGTGCAGGTAAGGATTAGGGACTGGCACTTGGTGGGGGAGACCAGGGTTGGAGATGGGGCCCTGGGAATTGTCCACATCAAGTGGGATGATTTTTCTATGATAGGTATAGCTAAGTTTTCTAGGAAAGAGATTCTAGAGAAAAGATGACTGGAATAGAAACTGCAGGATTAGTATATTCAAGATGTTGGGTACTCATGGGGCAGTTGTGTGCTTGAAGTTTGCCAGAGATAAAAACATGGAGTTTGTCATTATTCTATTTTTTAAAAGTGAAATGAAGCAGGAATTTAAGAAACTAAGGCTCAGAGAGGTAAAGAGTCTGTTGGTCAGTGAGAGAGCCCAGATTTGAACCCAGGTACTTCTTAGGACTTGCTCTGCTCATGATGCAAGGTATGAGGGGGGTGTGCTCGGTGAGGGAGCTGGAAGGTGTAGAAATCACAGCTACTTCACAGAAAGATCCACACTTCAATTTTTGTTCTTGTTTAGGCTGCAGGTGCTCTCTGCAGATCCCAGGAGGAAAAGCAGCTAAAAGGGTGGGTGGGTTGGCCTGGCATCTTCTTGTCAGATATGTTGGTTTTGGCTTAAAGTTATTGCTAAAAGTACAGCAGGATCTCTGCAGTGGGCTTGACTGCTTGGGCCCAAAACAAAGTCAGCATGAGCATCTAAAAATAGTATATTAGGCTGGGTGTGGAGGCTCAGCCAGGTGGATCACTTGAGGCCAGGAGTTTGAGACCAGCCTGGCCAACATGGTGAAACCCCATCTCTACTAAAACAAGCAAAAAATATTAGCCAGATGTGGGGTACACACCTGTAATCCCAGCTACTTGGGAGGCAGAGGCATGAGAATTGCTTGAACCTGGGAGGTAGAGGTTGCAGTGAGCCAAAATTGTGCTACTGCACTCAGCCTAGGTGACAGAGTGAGACTATGTCAAAAAAAAAAAAAAAAAAAATTAGCTTCTTTTTGTACAAGAAGGAATAATACCAGTGTCTCAGCTTTGTCCTGCTAAAAACAAAGTCTAATGTTCATTATGTCCTTGTCAGTCTGTAAATGTCCTTTATCCATATGAATCAGGAGTTCCATAGAGCTTCAGGAGCCTTGCATATTAGATTCAAGTATCATTTTTTCAAAGAAATTAATGTAACAATTGCATGTGAATCTACAATTACCTCAAAATAATTAAGGAAAAATTATTACAAATCATGTCCGCTTTCAAGATGTTACATACTGAATTTTAATACTTTGGAGATTGAGCCAGCATTTATTTTGTGCTGCCAAGGCAATTATTGTTTTGTGTAGAACTAGAAGTTTCTCTTGCTATATTGGTTTAGTAGGATAAGGTGAATGACACAGTTAAATACTTTTCAGTAACAAGCAATAGCATCTCCAGGCTAGGTAGCTCATGCATCTTTACAGAAGTAAACACTAGCCAGCTAGCATTTGCTGGTTGTGGGTTTGTGTTCATCACAGTGGGCTCATCATTCTCAATGTTTTAGGAGAAAGTCATGTAAATTTGAACCTAGAGAGATACTTGCATTGCTTTTCTCACCGAGATTCCATGTCACATTTCATTTGAAACAAGTATTCTGCTCCCTTTTACAAGTTTGAAAAGCCACTAGAAAAACTGCTTGTTTCCTTTCCTACCTCACCCCCTGGAGGTTTCAGGTACTCAGGAAAATAGTAAAAAGCTCTGATGTACAGAAATATATACTACTACACAAATCTGGAGATATCTGCTATTGCTTGGTAGGTGGAAAGAGAACTGACTTGTGTGCTGACATTGTTGGTTAGGTCTTAGAAAGGGCCATAGCAGTCAGACAGGTTATGATTAAGCATGTAAGAGTGATTCTGTCCTCCTTTTTTTTGCCACTTGGAATGGTAAGAATCACCCCTCGTATGTCTTCACGGTCTGCTGTCTGAGTGCTTTACCTGTGTGCTAAGTATCTTCATCCTTTTGTGGCAGCCTCATAAGATAGGCATTGATGTCTCTCTACTTTAGATGTAGTCAAGCTGTTTGCCCTTTGTATCTATAACATGTTCCTTCAGACCAAGCATCCTTGGGCAGAGCGGGCTGGAGATACCCGTGCCAGCCTAGAAGGGCCCTGGGGACCCCTGTGAACTTATGCACCCTCCCTCTTGCTGTGCTCCCAACAGAAAGAGTACTTCAAGCAATATGAAGTGGGGCTCCAGAACCTGTGCAATTCCTACCAGAGCCGTGCTGACTCCCGGGCCAAGGCCTCCGAGGAAAGCCTGCGCACCTCTGAGAGGAAGCTCCGCGAGACGGAGGAGAAGCTGCAGAAGCTGAGGACCAACATTGTGGCACTCCTGCAAAAGGTGCAGGAGGTGAGCCCGGCAGCCTTCCTGTTGCAGCTGGACCACCTGGTCTCTCAGGGAGGGGGGCCTGGGCCCTGTTCCTGTTCTGTTCTGACAAGAATCGATCCACTCACAGGAATCTATGATTCCCACCCTGGCTGCACAGCACCCTCACAGGAGGGCTTGAGATGGTCTGGTTGCCTGGGCCTCAGCCCAGCCAGACCCATAGAAACAGGCTTTTCTCCTTGTTTAGACATTCCGACGTACAGCCTGGTTTGAGAACCCTCCAAGCCATAAAAACGAAGTTCTTTTCCAGATGATGCCCAGATGGGATTGAGTAGCCCAGAAGTGGGGAGCGCCCCTTAAGCCTATTGGTCCTTTATCCAGGCAATAAGCATGAGGGCCTGCTCTGTGCCTGTCCTGTGGATACGGAATGAACAAGACAAGCCAGAGAAGGCTCTTCACAGTCTGCCAGTCTGGTAGAAGAGACAGAATTACTGATGGTGGTTCATAAGGAGATACAGTAAAGTGTGGGAAGGCCACTTGACTAGGGTGTTCAGGGGCCCAGGCATTTGGAGACACTGGAAGCCAGTCATGCAAAGAAAGAGTGTAACAAGACTATTCCAGGCAGAAGGAAGAAGAGCAGGACTTGAGGCCTGAGCAGGGACTTGGGGGTGGTAGGAGCTTGAAAGTTGTGGGATTTGATCCCGAGAACAATGGAGATCACTGGAGGGGAGTGGCAGTTTTTAGTCTCAGACACTTACCTGATTGGTTGGAGGAAGATTGGAGGGGTGAATGTTAGAACCGGAGTTCTAACTCCCACAGTTGCCTGAGTGAGATAGTGGTGGCATGGACCTTGGGTAGTAACAGAAGGGAGAGAAGTGGGCATATTGGTAGTATGACAACTGGAAACATGGTGTAGAGTTAGGGTGGGTGTAGGAAATCTGGGCATCATCTGTGCATAGTAGCTGGGGGAGGGGATAGGGGATAATAGATTAAGACAGGACAGAAGCCTGACAGCCAGGGCAGGGTGGGAGGTGGGGAAGGGGACTCTGGGCTCCATCTCAGGAGCCGAGAGAAGGGTAGAAAGGTGAGCCCTCCACCCCTCACCCACAAGAGGCGTGAACCACCTCTTGCCCCCAGCTGACCCATGTCCTGCTTTATTCCAGGACATAGACATCAACACAGATGATGAGCTGGACGCCTACATCGAGGACCTCATCACCAAAGGGGACTGAAAACAGGAGCAAGAGGAGCTCCCCTGCCCACCTGCCCCTCAACTGTGTAGCTGCAGGGGGGAGGGGGCTTCATTCATGGGTTGGTGGTCACACCTTGGTTTAACTCACATGGGACATTTGTGTTTTTGGAGGGAAAGATACTCTGATTCTTTGAATCTTCCTCCCTAAGTTTATAAATATTTATTTTTTAAAAGAAGATGCTGTGCCTCTGAGACTATACTTTTTTTTTTTTTTTTGGTGACTGCAAAGAACAGAGAACATTTCCACTTTGGCCACAGTGGATTGCTAAGTGTGGACTGCTAAGCTGGAGCCACTTCAGCTCCTGGCTCCTCAAGATAGTGGCGAGTCCAATGTCATCTTGGAGAAGATCCAGGGGCAGGGCTGACACTTGTCTCCTAGAAGAAAAATGTGGGGATCTGAGGGATGGGAGGGAGAGTTCCCCCTGAGTGGCCCTGCTGTGGGCTGAGATCCAGAGACCCAAAAGCGGGGCTGTGTGTAGGAGGTTCCACATTGGAGGGGCTCTCTTGCAGCTGTCAGAGTTGGTCCTGGCCATGGCGTTGTCCAAACAGCTTGGGGAAAAAGATCCTCCCTGTCTAACCACCTCATCTACCCCTCACGTTCTCTCTGAAGGAAGATTTCTTTTTTCTTTTTTTTTTTTTTTGAGACGGAGTTTCGCTCTTGTTACCCAGGCTGGAGTGCAATGGCGCTATCTCGGCTCACCGCAACCTCCGCCTCCTGGGTTCAGGTAATTCTCCTGCCTCAGCCTCCTGAGTAGCTGGGATTACAGGCACGCGCCACCATGCCCAGCTAATTTTTTGTATTTTTAGTAGAGACGGGGTTTCACCATGTTGACCAGGATGGTCTCGATCTCTTTTTTTTTTTTTTTTTTTTGAGACAGAGTTTCGCTCTTGTTACCCAGGCTGGAGTGCAATGGCGTGATCTCGGCTCACCGCAACCTCCGCCTCCCGGGTTCAGGCAATTCTCCTGCCTCAGCCTCCTGAGTAGCTGGGATTACAGGCACGTGCCACCATGCCCAGCTAATTTTTTGTATTTTTAGTAGAGACGGGGTTTCACCATGTTGACCAGGATGGTCTCGATCTCTCGACCTCGTGATCCACCCGCCTCTGCCTCCCAAAGTGCTGGGATTACAGGCTTGAGCCACCGCGCCCGGCTGGTCTCGATCTCTTGACCTCATGATCCACCTGCCTCGGCCTCCCAAAGTGCTGGGATTACAGGCGTGAGCCACCGCGCCTGGCCCTGAAGGAGAATTTCTTCAGTTAACCATGGGCAGTGAGGTTTCTCACCTCAGTAACTTGAGTCCAGGTTGAGGAGACAGAACAGATCTGTGGTGAATCTCTGACTTGGGCAGCATACAGTCAAATTCCACAGGACTCCTTAGGGAAGGGGCTTATGTGTGAAAGAACTCCTGGGGCTGAGCTGGTGGAGGCCTCCATGTTTGGGTGCAGCAGGGTCTTGGATGGTGCCAGCCTGTTGATGCTTTTCTGGTTCCTCACTTCGGCCTGGCCCCACTGAGCCCCATCAAGGTGCCTGAGGAGGGGGCCAGTGAGGTCCCCTGGCCTCAGGGACTCCAAAGGCATCTCTGCAGGAAGCACACTATACTTTCCATGTCCCATCACAGCGCCACAATCTGTGTCCCTTAACTTCTCAGGGTCAAAGACAAAGGCAAGGGTTGCTGAATTTTCTCTTTAATGGCCATTGGAAGAGTCTGGTTCAGTTTTTCCCAACTCTCTTCCCACTTGGATTTGGGGCCCCTGGGTTTTCTGAAGGCACAATGACTATATGACTTTGTACCATTAACCTGTGGTTCAAACTTGGGTGTGTTTCTGGCCATGTCCCTAACCCAGATTAGCAATGGCCACCCTGCTGCTCTGAAATCAGCAGAATACTAGGAAGCAGAGGTGGACTTCTGGAATGGGAAGTCTTTCCCCAGTGGATATGCCTGTACCTGGTGGGTTTTGGGCCTCTCCAGACTACATCTCTGGGAGAGGCCTGTTGGGGTAGTACACTGAGAGACCCTGGCCTCTTCTGCTGGAAGACTGTCCAAGTCTTGGGGTTCCTGGAGCTGGTGATTCCTCTGCCAACCTGCTCTCTCTCTTCATCTCAGGCAGCATGGGGTCAACTTTTATCCCCAAACCTAAGGTTTTAATCTAAAGAAAGTTGGTTCTGCATTCTTACTGAAGAGTAATAATTTTTAAAATTCACACACATGTAATCAAAATGCAATACTATAAACTTCTGGTGAGACTCCTGAACTCAGTCTGTTTTCTTCTTAGTAAAATCCAGCACCTTCCTCCACTTCATTCTTTGTACCACTGTGGCTTTACACCGTCTTCAAGTTATTCCTCCTCATTACCTCCCTTGTTATATCTTCACCCCCCTTAACATCCACAGAAACAGACTGGAGTTCCTGAATGTTTTAGCTTCAACTTCTAGATGTGCCCACTTTGCTGTGTTAATGCTACCACAGCTGTGCTGAATGCAGCAGCTTGTTTCCCAAGCAGAGATCCTGCCACTCTGGATGGAAAGAGAAAATGCAGGAGTCCCCTTTCCTGATTTCCTGGGAATATCAAGAGAGAGGTGACCAGCTTGGAACTCTGATAACTTGGGAGGAGGAAGATGGTCTGGCTGATGTGTGGTGGGAAGATCCTTCGCCCAAGGCTGCAAGAGAGTGAGTGAAGGGCAGCAACGCTGGTGTTAAAGGAATGAGATGGGTGGGAACTTTAAGGTGTTTTGAGATGGGAGTCTCGCCCTGTCACCTAGGCTGGAGTGCAGTGGCATCCATCTCGGCTCACTACAATGTCCACCTCCCAGGCTCAAGTGATCCTCCCTCCTTAGCCTCCCAAGTGGCTGGGACCACAGGTGCACACCATCACCCCTGGCTAATTTTTTTGTATTTTTGGTAGAGTTTCACCTTGTTGCTTAGGCTGGTCTTTAACTCCTGAGCTCAAGTGATCCACCTACCTTGGCCTCCCAAAGTGCTGGGATTACAGTGTGAGCCACCATGCCTGGCCTAGGGTGTTTTGTTTTTAAGTGATACATGCACATGGTAAACATTAAAACCGTCTAAAAGGCTGGACCATGAAAAACGAGCTTCCCTTTTCCCACCCAATCCCTGAATTCTCCCTGGAGAGTATCCCTCCTAAGTGCACACACTTCCACTCTGTTCCATTTCTGCCTGTTATCTTAGTGTAGCTTGGAACCTGTTTCTGAATAACCCACATGGGTCTCCTTTATTCTTCAGAACCACAGAGCATTTTATTGTCTTAGATATACTGTCTCCTACTTATGGACATTTGGCGTTGTTTTTCCTTTTTTTGAGACACTCTTGCTCTGTTACCCAGTGGAGTGGATCTCGGCTCCCTGCAACCTTTGCTTCCTGGGTTCAAGCAATTCTACTGCCTCAGCCTCCTGAGGTGCTGGGACTATAGGTGCATGCCACCCTGCCTGGCTAATTTTTGTATTTTTGGGGAGAGACAGGGTTTCACCATGTTGGCCAGGCTGGTTTCAAACTCCTGACCTCAACTTATTTAGCTGCCTTGGCCTCCCAGTGCTGGGATTACAGGCATGAGTCACTGTACCTGGTCAGTCACCATTTTCATCCAGTGATTTGCAATGCACCAGGCCTTACCAGGGCCACTGACGGGTTCAGCAGACATTTCCTTCTTCAAGCTGGCAAGGCCTCAGACAAGTCACTGCCCATTTTGGCTTCCTGTTCCTCCTCTAAAAGAAGGGAGTCAGATGATGGCAGAGGCTTTCCAGCTTAATCAGCCTCAGGGCCTGTTATCCACCTAAAATGTCTCCAGAAGCCTATATGGAAAGCCAGTAGTCCTGGAGCTGCTCTGGTTGAAGATGGCATGGGGGCCCAGAGCCCCCTGCTGTCCTGACCACCCAATCTTTGCTTGCAAGATTCACTGGTCCCCACCTCTACCTGTAGGCCTTCAGCTACTTACTTGTCTGATGTGGGGATAATGTGCTTACCCAGCAGCCATCCTCATTTGGCCAGTTCCAGTGTCCCCGAAGGGTGAGGGAGGGCTGGGCTTCCAGGGGGCCTGAACCCCAGGTGCCTTCAATACTTCATAGGGCTCTGGCATGTCAGCAGCTGCCTGCCAAGGCCTGGAAGGTAAGGGGGAGGGGACTGACACCACTATGTTGAGATGCTTCCAGGGATTCTCCAAGGCCCCTTCCTGCTACAGTAACTGCAGGTTTCTGGTGAAGCCATGGCCAGCTCTAATTCCCTACTTCATTTTATTTTTTTTTTGAGACAGTCTCGCTCTGTCACCCCAAGCTGGGGTGCAGTGGGGCCATCTTGCCTCACTGCAACCTCCGGTTCCGGGGTTCGGGCGATTCTCCTGCCTCTGCCTCTCTCACAGCCAGAATTACAGGCGCGCGCCACCACGCCCGGCTAATTTTCTTTTTTTGAGACGGAGTTTCGTTCTTGTTACCCAGGCTGGAGTGCAATGGCGCAATCTCGGCTCACCGCAACCTCCGCCTCCTGGGTTCAGGCAATTCTCCTGCCTCAGCCTCCTGAGTAGCTGGGATTACAGGCACGTGCCACCATGCCCAGCTAATTTTTTGTATTTTTAGTAGAGACGGGGTTTCACCATGTTGACCAGGATGGTCTCGATCTCTCGACCTTGTGATCCACCCGCCTCGGCCTCCCAAAGTACTGGGATTACAGGCTTGAGCCACCGCGCCCGGCCTAATTTTCTTTTTATGAGACGGAGTTTCGTTCTTGTTACCCAGGCTGGAGTGCAATGGCGCGATCTCGGCTCACCGCAACCTCCGCCTCCTGGGTTCAGGCAATTCTCCTGCCTCAGCCTCCTGAGTAGCTGGGATTACAGGCACGCGCCTCCATGCCCAGCTAATTTAATTTTCTTATTTTTAGTAGAGACAGGGTTTCGCCATGTTGGCCCGGTTGATCTCAAACTCCTGGCCTCAAGAGATCCATCTGCCTCGGCCTCCCAAAGGGCTGGCGTTACAGACGTGAGCCACCGCGCCTGGCCTAATCGTCCCTCCGCACATCACTTCTTCCCGTGTTGAAAGCTCTGAGTTCTCTCTCCCCTTCCCAGTGCCCCACCACGTAAACGGATCTGTCCCGCTAGGTTTGGGGCACTGCGGAGAGCTGGGGAGAAGCCCTTTATCAGAAGGTTCAGAGTTTCTGAGTTTCTCATGCTTAATCATCAGCGAACACAGCACAACACATGGCCGAGGCCGGGTTGTAAATTCTCACCTGGCTCAGAAGCCGCAGCCAGGACTCCAGCACTTGGCCATCTGAGGCTTCGCGGGTGGACCACGTTCAGTCTAACAGGGCGTGGTTACGAACGCCCGTTATGAACGGTTCACAACCAGCCAACGGTTGCCAACTGTGGAGGGTGTCCCCTACCCGGCACACGCTCGAGGCGGAAATGACTCGGCGCCTGCGCAGCTTCGCCGGCGCGCTGCACGAGCACCTTGACCTGCGCATGCGCTTTGGAAGCCTCGCGAGCTTGTGGTGGTGGCGCTCAGGGCTTGGTGCAGGTGGCTGCGGCCTTTGAGGGTTTCCTCGCATCTTTTAGGTAGAAGGGGGAGAGCAAGGGCCCACCCGCACCCCAAGGAGATGAGCGAGGATTTTTTTGTCCCCTCCAGGCTGCTGCGTTTTAATTAAGTCAAAGTGCAGATGAAATCTTTTCCCTCTGGTTGTTTTCTAGCGTTTGGGGGGGTCATTAGGAAAAACATTTGTTGAACAGATGTCCTTAGGGTCAGCGCTTTGATCTCTGCAAGGTAGAACACTTGGAAAGGAAGCTGCGTGTTTTTCCTGCCTGCCTGCCTTTTGACCTGAGGCCGAGCTCCTGAAACCTCTTGGACTTCACGACATTGGTCTGTTTTCTATGTGTTTGTCCTTTGGTTGGTTTGGTGTTTGTTGGAAGGTAAATGTTTTAAAGTTTTGGGAATTCCTGTCATGCTTAGGGAAATCAATCCCCTTCTCTCTTCTCTCCTTCCCCCTACATTCGCTTACATTTTGTTGCAATGTTTGATTTTTTTGTTTTTTACTAGACTACCTGTAGTCCTCATGAAATATATTTTAGTATAAGCTGTAAGGCAAGAGTCAAGCATCCCCGCCCCCACGTGGAAATTAACTTGTTCCAGGCCCACTTATTAAATGAGCTAACAGGTGTGGACCTGTTGGGTTTGAGATGCCTCTTAGACGCCAATGGAGACATCTGTTGTCAGTTGCACAAATGAGTGATATCAGGGGTGAGGTTCTGGTTGAAACTAATTTTGGGTATCATCAGTCTCCCTCACTTGTTAAAAAATACTTTTCCAGCCTTGGAATTTATTCTCTCACATGAAATATTTATTCGCATTATCCAGTTCTCTCCCATCCCTGCCTAAAAGAAAGTGCTCCATTGGGATTTAAAATATAATTGCATTAAATTTAAATGTAAGTTTTGGGAGCATTGACATTTTTATAATATTAATCCTCCCTCAGAGGATAAAAAATGGTTTTCCATTTACTCAAGACTTCTTTTAGGTCCTCCAATAAGACATTATAAATTATTTATATGAGTTCTATGGTTAAATTTATTTCTAAGCGTTTTATGGCTTTTGCCTACTGTGATGGAATACTTTTTCCCATCTGTATTGCTCCCTGATTATTAATATGGAGAAAAGCTAATGATTTAATAGAATTCAATTTCTTAAGGAATTCTGGTAGTTTTAATAAATGTTTTTTTATAGATACAAATTTACCAGTATACCATTTTGTCAATTTGATTTAGTTAGAATCTCTGAAACAATGTTGAATAATGATCCTGGGCTTGTTTCTGATATGGGTGGAAGTCTACATGTGAGAGTTGAGCAGTGAGAGTTTCTTCGGCAAGTGGCTTTTAAAATGTTGGAGTTTCCTTTAGTTTTTCTTGTGGCTGCTGGGACTGTCCTGCCTGAGTCAGGCGCCAGGGGGCACCAGTCACACAGAATGAAATGTGGGTTGTGCACCCTGGAAACTGGCTGAATTTTGTCAAATGCCTTTTCACCTTCTATAAAAAACCATATAGGAGTTTTCTCCTTTATGCTGCTGTTTTGCTGTTTTTATTTGCAATTAGACATTAAGCAGCTATGAAAGACTACTGTATAAAATATTTGTAAAGTAGGCCAGGCGCGGTGGCTCACACCTGTAATCCCAGTGCTTTGGGAGACCAAGGTAGGTGGATTGCTTGAGCCCAGGAGTTAGAGACCAGCCTGGGTAACATAGCAACACCCCGTCTCTAAGTAAAATACAAAAATTAGCTGGTTTGGGCTGAGGCTGAAGTGGGAGAGTCGCTTGAGCCTGGGAGTTGGAGGCTGCAATGAGCTATGATCGTGCTACTGCACTCTAGCCTGGATGACAGAGTAAGAAACTGCATCTATTAAAAAAACAATTGTTAAGCAGAAAAAATATACCTCGAACACCCATCACCTGATTTGTTATTTTGTAAATCCCTGTGTGTCCTTCCGGGATCTCCTGAGCAGGAGCTCGATGGTCACTATCATTCTGAATTGTGTTCCCCTTAGTGTTTCATTTTATAATCTTGTTTCTTTACTTTTCATTATTTTTTATGAGTTCTGTGTGTTCCTAAATAAGTGTTTTGTTTTGCCTGTTTTTGAACTTAGACGGACATAACATTTTATTTACTGTTTTGCAGCTTGCTTTTTCTTTTCAATATTGTGTTCCAGAAACTCATCCATGTTTTTGGATGCAGCTGCAATTTATTCATTTTCACTACTGTAGAGTATTCTGGATGTTAACCTAAATAACAATAAAGAGAGGCTCTCAAATGAAAAGATGTTTATTTGGGAATAAAGCATTACAAATTTTTTTTTTTTTTTTTTTGAGACGGAGTTTCGCTCGTTACCGAGGCTGGAGTGCAATGGCGCGATCTCGGCTCACTGCAGCCTCCGCCTCCTGGGTTCAAGCAATTCTCCTGCCTCAGCCTCCTGAGTAGCTGGGATTACAGGCACACACCACCATGCCCAGCTAATTTTTTGTATTTTTTAGTAGAGACAGGGTTTCACTGTGTTGACCAGGATGGTCTCGATCTCTTGACCTCGTGATCCATCCGCCTCAGCCTGCCAAAGTGCTGGGATTACAGGCGTGAGCCACCGCGCCCGGCAAAGCATTACAAATTTATGTATATGTGTCTTTTCTTTTAGAGAGCCTCTTTGTTATTTCGGTTGCCACATCACTGCTGAATACTAGACAGTAATGAAAATGAATGAATGATGCCTGCAATTGAACATAATACAATTTTAAATGCATTCTTCTGAGACTGTAACATGCATTGTTTAGTAAATGTCTGCTGTAGCATTTGTGCAGGACTTTCTCCCTGGGACAGCTGTCCCAACCTTTTTTTTTTTTTTTTGAGATGGAGTTTCGCTCTTGTTACCCACGCTGGAGTGCAATGGAGCGATCTCGGCTCACCGCAACCTCCACCTCCTGGGTTCAGGCAATTCTCCTGCCTCAGCCTCCTGAGTAGCTGGGATTACAGGCACGTGCCACCATGCCCAGCTAATTTTTTGTATTTTTTAGTAGAGACGGGGTTTCACCATGTTGACCAGGATGGTCTCGATCTCTTGACCTCGTGATCCACCCGCCTCGGCCTCCCAAAGTGCTGGGATTACAGGCTTGAGCCACCGCGCCCGGCCCCAACCTTTTTGGTACCAGGGACGGGTTTTGTGGAAGACAGTTTTTCCATGGACTGGGGTGGGGGATGGTTTTGGGATGATTCAAACACATTACATTTATTATGGACTTTATTTCTGTTATGATTACATTGTAATATATAATGAAATAATTATACAACTCACCATAATGTAGAATCAGTTGGAGCCTGAGCTTGTTTTCCTGAAACTAGATGGTCTCATCTGTGAGTGATGGGAGACAGTGACAGATCATCAGGCATTAGATTCTCATCAGGAACGCACAACCTAGATCCCTCGCATGTACAGTTTACATAGGGTTTGTGCTCCTCTGAAAATCTAATGCCACCGCTGATCTGACAGGAGACAGAGCTCAGGCAGTAATGCGAGCAATGGGTAGCAGCTGCAAATACAGATAAAGGCTTGTTTGCTTGCCCGCAGTTCACCTGCTGCGTGGTCTGATTCCTAACAGGCTGTGGACTGATACTGGTCGGTGGCCTGAGGGTTGGGGACCCATGCCCTAGGATATAACCCTTGGGGTAGAATTGCAGTCATAGTTCATGCCCATTTCACCTTTACTAGGTAATGCCGGAATTAGTTGTGTTAATTTTCATGCCCACTGGCACTGTGGAAGTGCTTCGTTTCTCCACTTTGTTGCCCGTGTTTGATATTGCTGCACTTGAAATGTTCTGCCAGTCTGATGGGGGTATAGTGATATCTCAATGTGGTTTAATGTACATTTTTCTGATTTCTAAAATGTGGTTGAGCACCTTTTTAAATGTTTATTGACTTTTAAAAAAATTTCTATTTATTTTTGAGACAGGATCTTGCTCTGTTGCTGAGGCTGGAGTGCAGTGACACAATCTCTGCACGCTGTAATCTCCACCTCCTGGGCTCAAGGAGTCCTCCTGCCTTAGGAGGACTGCAGGCATGTGCCACAACCCTGTCTCTTTTAGCAGAGACAGGGTTTTGCTATGTCGCCCTGGCTGGTCTTGAACTCCTGGACACAAGCGATCCACATGCCCCAGCCTCCCAAAGTGCTGGGATTGCAGGCATGAGCCATTGTGCCTGGACTTACTGACCGTTTAGGTTTCTGTAATGAAGTGTTTGTTCAAGATTTTGGCCTACTTTTTTATTTTATCTGTTTCTTTTTCTTTTTCTTTCTTTCTTTTTTTTTTTGAGATGGAGTTTCGCTCTTGTTACCCAGGCTGGAGTGCAATGGCGTGATCTTGGCTTACCGCAACCTCTGCCTCCCGGGTTCAGGCAATTCTCCTGCCTCAGCCTCCTGAGTAGCTGGGATTACAGGCACGCACCACCATGCCCAGCTAATTTTTTGTATTTTTAGTAGAGACGGGGTTTCACCATGTTGACCAGGATGGTCTCGATCTCTCGACCTCGTGATCCACCCGCCTCTGCCTCCCAAAGTGCTGGGATTACAAGCTTGAGCCACCGCGCCCGGCCTATTTTATCTGTTTCTTATTTGAATTTTGTATATTCTGGAGACAAATTCTTTCTAAATTATCTGTGTTGCAGATTTCTTCTCCCATTCTTTGGCAGGCCTTTTAAATTCTTTTTTTTTTTGGGGGGGGCCTTAGTTTTCCCCATCTGTGAAATGAACCACTGCCCTGCCTTCTTACTGGGAGCTGATGAAATAACAGAGGCTTGTGAATGGGGCAGGGGGGTCATTACTACTACTGACTTCAGTCCCTGGACTCAAATCTTCCCTTTTTTTTTTT